CCTTACATTTCCCTACAAAATGAGCCTTTGTGCGATTAAAAATCTTAAAAAGTAAGAAAGTTATCGTCAAAAAAATAAACACGTGTATAGGTTATAATTTTAGGAAAATTTATTTCAAACAAGAATTTTGAAGCATTTAGATCTTTTTTGCATATATACGTATTTAGTATGTGTATATTCGAATAAACTAGTACTATATTATAATACACACTATACTATACACACGCACACACCCTCACACACACATACACACACACACACACACACCCTCACACACAGCTGTTACAAATTCGTTTCTCACTAAAGGGATCTCGAAAACGGTAAAAGATACGACCTAGCTTAAATGGGGGCAAAGTTGCGTAATCAGAGGACCAATATTATGTCTCTAAAAAATCAAGGCTAACATGATTAGTTTTCGAAATATTAAAAAAAAAACGAAATTTTGGAAATCCGTTTTTGTTTCATTTCAACTTTGTTTGAGGTGATATTGAAACACTTTCTCATGGCGACTTTTAGCCCTCTATCGAATGGCATAATCAATTTGTATATGTAACGTTTCCGTCTCTCCGGGACCATCAACTTAATTTTTTTAAATACGACTCTGTAAATTTTATTACAATTTTTGCAAGCCTTCATAACCCCCAATCCTGTACTGCCTCAGCCCGATCCAGATTTGCCTCGAAAAATTCATCTTCAGTGTATTCGTTCCAAATTTATCTAATTTTTTTATTTAGATTTCTTTGTATATTGAATTATCGTACACTATAAGTGTCGTTAGACCCTGTGAAACCTATCTAGTTATTTAAACTATTAATTAATAAGGGTTGAAAAGTTGCAATCAATTCAAAATTATTTTATAAGAAAGGAATAAATGTTTATTTAATACGAATGCACATTTAAAATGTTTCTACTCTTTCAATAATATTTTTTCATTTTATTTTCGAAAGAAGGGGTATTTTTCAAGGGTTGAAAAGTTGCAATCGATAAGAAAATTTTTTAGTGAAGAAATCAATTTTAATTCGATAAAAATGCATGACTAAAACCTTTCAAGTTGAAAAAAAGTTTTAATATTATTTTCATCCAAAGGGGTGGTTTTTAAAGGTTTTTCCGGGTTGAAAATTTGGGATACATTAATTTTCATGTTAGATAGTTCATGAAATTACTCGTACTGCATAAATAAAAAAGATTTGATTACATAAAATGCTTAAATTTGTATGTTTTCTTTTTCTTCTCTTAAGGGGTGGTTTTCACCCCTTAAGAACAAAAAGCACACCTAGCGCATATATAAGTTTTGAAGTGGGGGGTAAGATGAGCCTAATTCTAAATTTTGAGAAAAATCGATGCGGTTATAAAAAATTCGGAGGTTTTACTATATTTTCAGCTACAGTAACTGGGCTATATACAGATTTTATGACACAGAAGTGGATTAACAGAACTGTGAAAATAACCCTCTCCCGTGAGCTAATCTAGGTACTCGTAATTTTGTCAGTAACAACACTGTAGCTTCTATTTTTTTTTTTTTTATTAAAGATGAACGGACTGTGCCCTGAAATTACCCGCCAATGTCTTTCTACCTCGGGTGTCGAATGCGGTTAATTCCAAGAAACTGACGCAGGGGTCTTCTTGGATTTCTGTCTCATGAAATTTCGCTTCGGGGGGTTGGGGGGGTTGGGATGAGAAATTCGAATCGACAAGCGACCATTAGGACGCACTTACACTGCCGAAACTTCTTTGAGCCACGGTGTATTTCACTTTCAGCTGGAGAAATCTTTTCCCCCAACTTTTCTGCTTAAAAAACGTATATACCTTACTAATATCTCTAATGCTAACCGTTTTCAACAAGAAGGCGTTTAAATTTGTAAATGCACAAAAAAAATTGTTTAATACTTATTTACTGTATACAGGGTCGGAAAGTCGTAAATGTTAATGTTAATAAGTAATAAGTAATAGGTTTATTAGTTTTTCATTATTCTTCTAGTGAAATAAAGTTACTTTTTTCTGTAACGGGAAAAAAGTTTGACATTTTATCTCTGTTGACAGGTAACAAAATGTCACTTTTTATGAAATTGCTGTTTTCCCCGGGAAAAAAGTGAGTATACTTTTTTCCCGGATATATACAATATACATAAGTAAATTTTCCGCGATTTAGCTGACAATAATTTTTGTGACGCTACTTTCGCTGCTTCTACTAACTCCGGTGGAGTCAGAGAAAACTCGGAATCAGACATTTTTTAACTTTATATTATTCAAAATAACTACTAAACAACCACTAAGTTTGCAATTTTTAAATCAAATCACATGCAGAATTAAATTGACAGATATTTGATTACTTTAAAGGTTTCCTTAGAAGAAGAGAAACAGAAGAAGTTTATTTATGACTTTTGAATTAAACATTTATAAACTGCGTTATTAATACCAGAACGTTTTGGCATCGCATCCTCCCATTCCTTATCGTTGTCTAATAACTCACAGGAAATCTGGAATCGGTAAGTTGAATAGTTTACAAGTTATGGCATGGCCTTATAAACAAATCAACTAATTATTAGTCTGGACGATCCCGAGCATCTTCCACAATCGCATTGATTTTTTGTATGGTAGATTTCATAGTAATACACTGAAATTTAACATTTTTTTTTATTTCAAATTTGCAACCTGGAATTTTTTTTTTAATTTTTATAGCCTTAGTTGCAAAATGTGACGCACGAGCGTGGTATAGTTATATATTATTTATTACATATTCAGAAAGCTTATGAAAAGAGCTTTAAGTTAAATAAGAATCGTCAATATTCGTTGAAAAACAACGGAGTTACAGACTGTCAAATATATCGTTTTCAAGCGAATTTCGCTTATTTAACGGCAGGGCTATGAATATTATTATGATCATTTTCTTTGGACTCGCTGTCGTTCGCTTCCCCCACCCTTCCGCCGCGCCACGGCTCGCCGAAAATCAAGCGACCTATCAACATTTGACAATAAAAAAAACAATAATTTGTTTAACAATAGGCCGTCAACTTTGACAGTCTGTAACTCCGTTGTTTTTCAACGAATCTTGACATGTTTTTTTTTAACTTAAAGCTCTTTTCATAAGCTTTCCGAATATGTAATAACTATATCACGCTCGTGCACCATATATTTCATTTTGCAACTAAGGCTAAAAAATAAAAAAAATTAAGTACCAGGTTGCAAATTTGAAATTAAAAAAAATTATAGATTTCAATGTATTATTATGAAATCTACCATGAAAAAAATCAGTGTGATTGTGGGAAATGCTCGGGATCGTCCAGACTAATTAAATTTGTTTATAAGGCCATAACTTGTAAACTATTCAACTTACCGATTCCAGATTTCGCGTGAGTTATTAGACAGTGATAGGGAATGAGAGGATGGGATGCCGAAACGTTCTGGTAGTAATAACGCAGTTTATAAATGTTTAATTCAAAAGTCATAAATAAACTTCTTCTGTTTAGACCTTTTGATCTAATCAATATTTTTTGACGCTCGAGGACTAGCTTTGTAGGTCTTTTGTAGGTCTTTCTTCGTAGAAATGAACGGAAAAAAGTTATAAGCGAAAACCGTGAATTTACGTAAAAATTATACAATTAACCACCCTGTAAACAATCTTCCCCCCATTTTTATGACTGTGGAAAGTAATATGTTACTGTACATAATATTTAGCATCTATAGTGATATATTCAGCTTGCCGAAACAAAAAGTCGCGAAATGGTAATTTCCCAGTTTATTTTCCTGGCCTGGCCCATGTTTAGATTGTGTTAAATTGATTAGATTATTTTTAGAAAGTATGTCTTTTACTCTATCAATTCTGTTTGCAGTAAAATTGTTAAATAAAGGAAATTTAAAATTGTAAGTACACTTAAAAGGCATATTTCTTGCTAATAAATTATTGCTCCTAATTTCGTTAAAAAAATTATTTACTGAGTGCCTTCTCATTTATCAGAAAACGTCTACTTAATTTCATTTCTGTCACTATTTTTTGGTATTTCAGAAAAAAATTAAAAACTTCTTTTTTTGGCACCATCTTTAAGCTTTTGCATCTTCAAAGGGAATGTTCAAATGAGATTTTTTTTTATACGAAAGATCCACCCACTTATTTATTTACACCCTGTGTTTTAATCGAAAACAAAAGTATTGAACTCAAAAGCTTCTTGCAGAGTATAAATTTTTTATTACACAATTTATTCCCGTTCTCAAAAACTCATCATCCCGTGGACGTACCTATCTCGAATTTTCCTTTCAAATTTAAACACCTCCGCACCAACACGAAACCTTCCTGGCGACGTACCATCATTAAACCCCAAAATCGAGCCTGTCACCGAACAAACGACATCTACGAAGACGGATCGCTCTCTCCCGGCCCACTCGACCGATCTAGCATCTAACAAGACATTTTTAATCGAATTTTTCGAATCGTAACAAGCACCATCGCCTTCTTCGACTGTTTTTTATCTCCCGGAGTACCGTTAAAGCAGGCTAGTTAATGGTAGCTCCTCGGACTGTATAAGTCAACATATGTAACGTTATAAGTGCTGTAATGTTATGCATAGTTTGACAAGTTTTTAGCGACTGCTATCTATCTGTATCCGCTATGTACCAGGTACGGGAATCCGCGATGGTACCACGTACGATCACGTTTTAACCTTAGAAATACTTTGAATTCTACGTACCTTCTTCCAGAAACGTCGCGGATACGTCGAGAAGGGATAATAATAGGTTAGGTTAAAGATAAGATCACTTTTCTGTCGTTGAAATGAACTCAACTGTTATTTACTTGCGCGATAATTAAAAAAACACCAAAACGGATGCGTATCGAGTATTTTCAACGCATATTAGAAGTAAAACCGCTGCAACTAACACTGCTTTCTATTTTTTTTTTTTTTTGTTATGAATACCGTTACACTACTTAAGCGGTCCGCAGTGCTCAATCTACTTTTTTATATAGGTCTTAGGTACGCCGTGACGTGAAAAACGTTAACAAGTCATACCTCTGTAAAATCTCTATGTGACATTCTCTCCCGTACGAGATCCAGTCTTCCAGGACCATATTACACCGTGGGGCACTTCAATGTTTAAACCAACACGCACACACGCTTCACTGGTAATTAAAAAAAATCAATCACACACAAATTCCACATCCAGAGGGCCATTGTCTTTTCCCACAGGCCACTTAACGTGCCCACGACCTTATCCCGTACAAATTCACGGAAACCACCACGATTTTCGCGGGATTCCTCTCACAACACTCGACTGTCGACCCTTGGGGACATTTAACAGCGGAAGGACGCACGAAGCAAGCCGTTTTATCACCGTAACTTCCGTTCCCGGGCGGCGTAGACGCATCTGCGGATCCTCCCGGCGTGTGTCGCAGGCGGCGGCGTCGAAACAAGTGCACGTCGTCGCCCTAGGCCCGGCCCGCTGCGTTTATTTACTCTTCGCTCGCATTCCGCGGCGCGGCCATCTTGGATGGATGTCGGAATGCAGGCAGGTAGAGTCGGCGATCTCTCAGGTGGCTGCGGTGTTCGGTTCGGCTGCACGCGATCGTTTTTTGTCTCGGGTCCGGTGGGAGACGGGCATGGGTGACGTGATGCTCGATTGGACGGGCGAGAGAGGGGGGCAGCGGCGGCGCTCTGGGGGGTCGGAGGGCGCCGCCGAAGGGGAATAAGTAGAGTTCGACGTTCGCGTGCGGGGCCAGTGGCGGCGCTGCGAGATCTAAAAATAGTCTTACTGTTAAAGAAGATCGGGTGCTTACCGTGTTATAAAATCATTGCTGTAAATGCAAAGAAAAATATTCTTTATGACTAGAAAGTAAGTAGATTGAGATACTTTCTTGTAGATATTGAACAAAATCGAGTTTAAAGTACTTAAAATTATATATTTCCATCTTCCAATAATTATAGTCCAGTCAATGACTATTTTCCCGTATAATTTTGTCAAACAACGCCGATTTTCATAAAAATTTGGATTTAGGTTCTATTTACCCTCTACTTCAAAGTTAACCTTGTACCCCGGTACTTTTACCTTGGGGTGGAGGCCACCCCTTCTCGGGGGTGAAAAATGCCTCGTTGAAATTAACTCCGGGAATCGATATATTCGATCAATTCTAAGCAACTTTTGCTCTATAAAGTTTTTTCTGAAAGTCAATACTTTTCGACTTATTCGGCGTTAATTTTTTAACCAAAAAAAAAACACTTTCAGACAGTTTTTCGCGAATAACTCAAAAAGTAAGTATTTTATCAAAAAAATCATCCTCATAAAAAAATGTAGCTTGTAAAAAATGGTGTCTGTAGACCCAATACAAGCGGAGTAATAGCTTGTTGAAGGTTGGTTCTTATTCGTCAAACGCCAAAATTGAAAGTTTGAACGTAAAATAACCAAAAACCAATGCATTTTCCAGGGAATACTAATAGAACCTTTTTTAAAGTGCTTGAAAAAACTTTTATTTTATTTCCCTAGCATCAAACCTAAGCGAGTTATGACGAAAACAAAGTTGGTCCGTATTGTTTTCGACGACAAAAAACGTGAAAATCACCCCCTAATTACCACCCCAATTGAAAATAATCGTTACTATTTTACAATTTACTTTATTTATGTATTTGTAATATGCTCTAGAAGTTTGACCGGTTTGAAGTGCTTAGTTTTGAAAAAAAGTTGAGCATAAAGTGAAAGGAGAATTTTTGTATTTTTGAAAAAAATTGTCTTTTCAAAATAACTCAAAAACTATTAATGATACGCAAAATTTTGTAGAGTACAAAAATGTAGATTTTGATTTTCTGAAAACTTGTAGGATAAAAATTAAGTAAGATATGTCCGTTTCTAATTTGCATATGTTCGTAAATAGCAACTTGTTCAAGCCATTTCAGCTCAAACCCTTACAAAAATAAGGGTTGAAAGAAAATTGATCTTATAGCCCTTGAAAAAACCTACAAAATGGTTTTTTAAAGGGCTTGATAGCGTAAAAACTAAGCGAGTTATGGGTAAAATGCCAAACACATATTTTTGCAGATATCAGAACACGTATATTGAAGCACTGATGAATACACATTATAGCTATATTTTAGGCACAGATGTATTTACATTTTTGATTATTTATGTTATTTTCAATAAAAAATTTTTTTTTTATAAAAATAAAAAAATTACAATCCATATAAAAATAACATTCTTATTTTCCCAATTTTTGATTGCAAATTTAATCAGTAGGGTTTTTTTAAGGTTTGAAAATAAATAAATACATTACATTTTAAATAATAAAAAGATTGTATTATATTTTGAACTAAAAAATTTTTTTTAACTATAATTGTTCGATTTTTTGCAAGGGGTGGTTTTTATAAGGGTTGAAACTTATAAATAAATATTAAAAAATTAAAACAGTAAAGAAGTCTTAATTTAATCACTAGGTATATGATTAAATTATTCCATGTTGCTGAATAATATTTTTCAACATTATTTTTTAATGATTACTGTCATAGGGGGTGGTTTTTAGGGATTGACAACTTTCAAGTCATCAAAATTACTTATTTAAAAATTATTTTAACCTATTACACGCTGGAATCTATACAATTCTATAATTATTTTCGAATAGGGGTAGTTTTTACCCCTAAAAAATAAAAAGCACCCCCGGCACTGGGTCAACTTTGGTGCAAATTGGTGCTATTTGGGGAAATTATACAGTAACGCCGTATTTTACCTTCAATGACTGGACTATTATTATTTTTTACCCAATATGCATAAATAAATGGCAGAAGTTGCAACAGAAACTTGGCAACAGCGCACGAGTTTGCTGCTTTATTATTTGTATGTTGGCAGTTGGCAGTCCTTGTCTTGTATATAGGTATACACATGATGCTATGTGTCCGCTCGCATAACTGATTGCTTTAACCCATAAAAATGTCGGATGAAGAATGTAGTCGACAGAAAGGAAAATTTGTGACCAATAGAAAGTATGAGTGCTTGAAAATTAGAACAGAAAATGGCAAAAGCAGTAAAAAAGCTGTTGAAGAGAATATAGTGGAGCCAGAACCTCCGCACACCGTTCGAGGGCATCAACTAATCCACATAGAGTATAGGCAACCCGCAACAAAATGTCATAGTTGAAATTGTATAGACCGAATCTGAGCCCTGTGTACTATGAACAACTTCAAATTAATTTATTTTTACAAGGATTTGGAAGTATTTAAGAACAGCCAACACATGTTTCGTAAAATAAATACATTAATAATGTACTTAAAATTACAAAAAACGATATAAAACAATGTTCCTAAATTTAAATAAAGTAAAAATTTAAAATTAGCCCTATCACTACTAATGCGCATGCTCGAAAAGAATAGCCTCATAAGCAGGTCAGATATGTCATCACTGTCATCGCGCATTTTCTCTTCTTTTGTTTAATCTCGGCATTTTCTAATTGTACTAAGTATTTTTATTGTTTTTCTTGGTGTTGTGCTGTGTCAGTGTGTTTATCGAGTGTGTTCTTTCTTCAAGTGGTTTATCATAGACGTACTCTAACAGTCTTAACCCATACCAAACTTTTCCTGAATGATACCCTGTTGCGAGGTTACTTCGCTTATATGAAATTATCTTTAATTACTATAAAAGCCAATATTGTTAAATTTAAATATATCAATTCTATAATCCTATTAATTTGTCACCTGGTGTTTGAAACTTCGTAAATATCAAATATTGCCAGAATATCGCAATATTGACAAAGAAGCGCTTATTTTGGCACTTATGTCCAAAGTATATAAGGTCGAAAATCGATCTAGTAAAAATATTGGGAAATTCTTCTTGACAATGTGTACTATGCAACTTTTTATGTTCGATAATTTATTTCTCTGTGAAATGTGCGGTACTACTTTTTTTCGTCTTACCATTTCCATTTTTTCACCCGTAATTTGATTGTAACAGGCATCATAGCATTTTGCATAAGAAACGTACGTTAAAAATATTCAAATTTTTGGCATTAATTAAAAACAAAAACAAATCGATAAATAATTCACAGAATTTGATTTCGTATTGCAAAAAAATGCATCTCAATAATACAAAATTATGGGGTATTGTGAAAAATGCTTAAAATCTCACAAAAGTTTTTCTAATCACTAATTACAACACCATAGCCACATGTCATAGAGATCTAATAACTGTTTGTGAGGTCATAAGTTATAGTTTCGATTTCCTCCTCCCTTGTTTGTCTATCATCCTCTGAAATAAGGTTAACAAGCATCGCAAATTTATTTCCACGGACAGCGAATAGATTATTAAAAAGGATACATTCATAACATTCTACACTCCATACCTCTTTTAACTTTGAACGAAAAGTGTAATTTTCAGTATCGAAAAAATATATTGCACTAGATTTCTCCCATTCACTAAACTGTAATCATCAAATTTGATTCTCTGTGATTCTCCTGATTTGAATATAGTTTGTAGACTGAGAAATATCTGATATAAATTATTTTTTTCTACTGAATTATGTGTTACTGAAAATGGTAACCGTTTCTAATAATTTTCGTGGAAAAGTATGTACCTACCTAATTACTTACAATTATTATTTGCTTGAGTCCAATTAAATGCGCTTTTAATCGGAATTTGGTCAACTTGCCTAAATTTTTGATATAAGGTTGTTTGAGGTATGTAACAACAGTAAATGACACTATTTTTTTTCAACCGTCGGCTAGGGGTGGAAAAAGATAAAACAAAGGGGTTTTTCAAGATAAGAGGTAAGAGCTAAAAATAAAGTTTCTTATAAAAGTTGTAGAGCATAAAATTCTACATAAAAATGGTCTATTGACTTTTACTTTTGTACTGTTAAAATTAACAGAGTTAGGATGGCTAGAAGTTAAGGGATGATTTCAGATATTTAAAAAAATCATAACAGACAGAAAAAATAGTGAATTTTATATATATTTTTTTTCAATCTACTCCAAAAAATGTAAACCTACTTTTTAGAGAAATAGATATATTTTTTAATTGCTAATAAAAAAGTTATAACAATTTAAATTTTTTTTAGTCGTTAATTTTTATGATCTAACACCGAACCAATTTTTTTCTATGCCATTCGATTGATTATTTAAAATAATGAAAAGTTGCCTTCGAAATTTTGTTTTACATGTCGACAAAAATAAATCGCGTTCGCTTTGTGAAATTGGAATTTTTTATTTTATTAAAAATTAAAAAATATATCTATTTCTCTGAAAAGATAGTTTACATTTTTTAGAGTAGATTGAAAAAAAATATAAAATTCATGTTTTGCTTGTTATGATTTTTTTAATTTCTAAAATCATCCCTTAACTTCTAGCCATCCTAACTCTGTTAATTTTAATAGTACCAGAAAAAGTCGATGGACCATGTAGAATTTTATGCTCTACAACTTTTATAAGAAACTTTTTTAACCCCTTTTAAGTTATCTTGAAAAATCCCTTTATTTTATCTTATTGAAACAAAATTACCGTCACTTATTGTTACTATACAGGGTGTGCCATTTAACACTCCCACTGCCAATATCTCCGAAATGAAGAAATTTATTTTAGTTTCGGAAATTGTGGTTGTTAGGTCCCTCGAATAGCTTCAAATTGTAGTTAGAACTGTTAGTTCAAATCTTTCTGTATAGATGGCGTGGCGATACTAAAAAATTTTTGTTCCCTGGAACGTGGAAATACAGTCCATCTGAAAGATTGTTAAATTTTGGGTAATTTTGGTAATATAAAGTTTTTCCCAATATTTACTTGTTTTCGAGATTTGTCGACTTCAATATGCAATGTATGATATAATTGATATAGCAGGAAAATCTATTATTTTATCTAAATCACACTGACAAAATATTCTTTTAAAATATTGTTATAATGGCTTTATTCACATCACATACTAACTAACAAACAATAAATTATAAAAAAAAAAACGAATGATCAACTTCAGATAAAAAAAGGTATATAGAATCCCCCATATTTAAAAATAACACAGCCGCACAAAAAAAATGTGGTATCTATGTACCTACCTTTGATTTGCCCGTACTGAATCCTCATCTGAAGTCCGTTTAGCTCAAGCATCCCCAAAATTTTGAGTAATTGGCAATAAATACTAAATACCGAGCGCAAGCGCAAAGAAAAACAAAAAAAAAATTGTTCTGAACTTGATCAAGTGGGTTTCTTACGTATTTTGATGTGGCAGTTAAGGAAGGTAGTTGGCAAAAACTGGGGACTCAATCCAAAGGTGCTTCACTGGGTGTACACGGCGGTGGTTAGGCCGAGGCTACAGTATGGGGCCTTGGTCTGGTGGCCGTGTGTGGACCGGGTAACAGTAGCCAGGAAGTTGGTGAGAATCCAGAGACTTGCCTGCTTAGGTATTACAGGGGCAATGAGGACGACCCCAACTGCCGCGTTAGAGGTCCTTCTGGGGCTGCCGACCCTTCCTACATGGATTATGAGGGAGGCGATGGCGGCATACCTTAGGATAAGGGACGCCGGTGGTTGGAGAGCTAAAGGACGCACTGAGGGTCATGCTTCCGTGGCCCTCAGGGCGGAGAGGGACATCCCAATATCCGCCATGAGTGTTACGGAAGCAGAGGACCGGCTTAGGTTAGGAAGGAAGTATGTCACCACTTTCCCCTCGAGAGAGCAGTGGAAGCAGGAAGGTGATATGTTCTCCCCGGGATCCCTAGTGTGCTATACTGATGGATCTCGGGTAGAAGACGAGTTTTCAGGAGCAGGAATTTATCTGGAAGGCAGCGGCATCCAGGAAAGCTTTTCACTGGGTATGTATGCTACAGTCTTCCAGGCTGAGGTTNTTGTTAGGTCCCTCGAATAGCTTCAAATTGTAGTTAGAACTGTTAGTTCAAATCTTTCTGTATAGATGGCGTGGCGATACTAAAAAATTTTTTGTTCCCTGGAACGTGGAAATACACTCCATCTGAAAGATTGTTAAATTTTGGGTAATTTTGGTAATATAAAGTTTTTCCCAATATTTAGGTACTTGTTTTCGAGATATGTCGACTTCAATATGCAATGTATGATATAGCAGGAAAATCTATTATTTTATCTAAATCACACTGAGACAAAATATTCTTTTAAAATATTGTTATAATCTGGCTTTATTCACATCACATACTAACTGACAAACCATAAATTATAAAAAAACGAATGATCAACTTCAGAAAAAAAAGCCGCACAAAAAAATGTGGTATCTATGTACCTACCTTTGATTTGCCCCAATAGGTTTTATATATTTCGACGTACTAAATCCTCATCTGAAGTCTGTTTAGCTCAAGCATCCCCAAAATTTTGAGTAATTGGCAATAAATACTAAATAGTGAAAAATCGCCTAGAATCACGTTACTGAGCGCAAGCGCAAAAAAAAACAAAAAAAATGGTTCTGTAGTTGATCAAGTGGGTTTCTTACGTATTTTGATGTGCTGAACCATATCTTAAGACTTTTAAGCTGCATTCCACCTAGATTTTCCAAAACTCGCGAAATAATATCGAAATATCACAAAAAAATCGACAAAAATCATATTGTGACCTTAAAAATATTCGAAATAGTTTTTCTGAGCGTGATCTATGTTCCTTATGTATTTCGATACGCTGAATTCGAGTCTGAAGTCTATTAGCTGTATCCCCCACAGATTTTGCAAAAAAAAACGTAAAAAAATAGATGAAAGTGGCAAAAAACCATATTAATGAGAGTGAGAAAATTTAGAAAGAGATTTCCTAAATTGGATCAAGTTCTTCTCATAAATGTCGTCATTGTCGAGTCGAATTTGAATCTAAAGTCTATTGAGCCTCATTACCCAAAAATCGCAAAATATCGCAAAGAAAATAGAAATCGTGAATTCTAAACACTCTTGAATAAACGTATTGGAGTTGGAGATGAATTTTTTGCCAATTACTCAAAATTTTGAGGGTGTTTATGAGTTAAACGGACAAAATACATAGGGAAGGTCTATTGAGTCATATCAAACGTACAGATAACTTTTTTATGCATGTGCCGGTGTAATTAATATAGTGATGATGACCTTTACTAGACTAATGTCATTTTGTATGTCTATTTTGAATAGAATTAACGTGTCAACTATTTTCCGTTCGTGAACTATCTGAAATTTGTTCACTCCCGCAAAAAATCGGCATCTTCTTTTCCTTTTGAAAAATATGCCAGTGTACTCTTTTTATACACTTATTAAAAAACATTCTTTTAGAATTATTCGTTTAAATATTCATAAACATCTAGTTGCCTTGACAGAACCAGAGGCGTTAGGAGAAACAAAACAAAACCAAAACGTTTATTATTTCTTCAGTTTTGTTGCTGTAATTTGTTCAGTTCATTATTCCGACATCGAATAAGTGGATAATATATTAGGTAAGTAAACTAATTATCGAAAATAGTAAGCATCACACTCATATTTTCAAAAAAATAATCGTATGGGAGTAATCTAGGTAGCTGCCGCATTTAAAAGCTTCAACCAATTGAAAGAGCACGAATGTATATGGTCAATTGTCAATTCAACACTTTTCTTGGTTATGCAATAATAATTTAATACCAGTAAAATCCAGATATTTTCTGTATAGCAAATATAATGCGAAAATCATGATAATTGTGTTTGTACAAGGCAACAGTATTTTTTGACATTAAAATTTTGTGACGTCATCGCCATCGATCCAAAACAAATGAAATCGAGTAGGCTTTGTGACTGTACACGATAATCAGTTAAACCAAACGAAACAATTCTAAAATTAAACGATTTCTGGTACGTAGAGCTTTTAAATTAGTACAAGTGGAATAATTAGAAATAGTTTTTTATTATTTTAACGTTTGTAAATGTAGAAATTCGATTCGCTTCTGGAATCTGCAAATCTGTCGTATTCCGTGATCGTTGCGGCGACTGTCAAATGTCAAATGATTGTTTTCATTTTATTAGCAACGGAAAGTAACGTAACCGATCAAAATAATTAGTTTTTCGACAAATTTTCTCCAGCAGACGGCGAAAATGAACATTTTTCCCTCGTACCCCAAACTGAGGAACCGCCGAACGGGGGCGGAGATCGAATTGAACGCCAACCCGGTAAGTACGACGAATTTTCGTAGCGATAATTACTCGTTACAAATATTACTTCGTTTTTTGCAGTTTTCCCTCGGCCGGGGACTCTCCTGCAACTATGTTATACCTAGTAAGACCGTCTCGAGGGTCCACTGCATTCTGCAAATGAACGATGATAACACCTGGGTGCTGAGAGACTCGGTAAGCATTTACATTACGAAGTGTCTGCCTAGTGCATCACTTAATTTCGTTTTAGAGTACGAACGGTACCTTCGTCAACGGTAAACTGGTCAAGCACGTTAAGAGCCCCCCTTTGAAAGACAATGATGTTATATGCTTGGAGATAAACAGCGTCGATAGTTATGTTTTCGTCAACGAAGCCGCTAGCAATGATATAAGTGACGAGCAGCTCTGTGCCATAGCGGACAGCGTTCTTAATGAAATGGAGTGTCTAACCTCTAATCCTACAAACGCAAGCGGTCAGGAGCAGTTAGGTGGTGAGTAGAAATTTTTCTAAATGGCAGATTGAGGTTAGGTTGTAGAAATTTGCGTGTTTTTTTTGTGACAATTTATGTGTATCTGACGTTTGACTGCTAGTTTTATTCAAATTTCTAGTATTTGTACATGTTTTGTAGAACCTAACCTAAAATTCTTATTTTGCTGTATGCGTTTGTGGTTTTTTTTTTTATTGATTGCGTCCTACCGATACATTGAAAGGAAACAAATAAATAAATAAACGACCTCTCGTGCCAAATAGTTCGATTAAGGGGGTGACTGTAAATTTAGATTTGCTTAACCAAGAATATTTCTGCACCTGTTTGCTGCAAATTGTCTCTAAAAAGTTCATTGAATCAATGTTTTGCGTTTCCACCTTCTTCATGCAATTTTTTCAAAACGAAACACCACTTTGTTGTAGATTTATTGAAAAAGATGTGGAAGGGTAATATTTTCGTTACTATGAATAACGAAATTAAAATATTTGTACGAAAAGTAATACCTGCACGGCAAATGACTGTGCAAAAAAGTAATAATTGTCCTCAACAATGACAATTCGCTTTCTCGCTACTCGAAACATACAGCGGCTTATAATCCTCCCTTCCATTTTCCAGCTGCCAGTTTGCCCCCCCGTAGGAACGCCCCCGACTCCACGACAGTCAACCCCCTCCTCGACCACATGTACACCGCCAAGTCGTCCAACGAAGCTGCCAAGAAGGCGAGAGTCGGCCGCTCCCCTAGGCCGATCCTCGGCTGCGGCAACAGGAGGGACCCCGACGACACCTCCCGCTTGGGGCAAGGGAGCGCAACGAGTGCCCGTGACGAGGCTGCCACACGAGGTTCGGAACCCGTTCGTAATAACGTGCTTGCCAAAAACGACGGAAACTCGAGCAATGCTGGTAGTAACAAGAATAACGCAAGCCAGGGAGGTTCGACGGGTTCCATGCGGGTTGACCAGGAGGTAGTGTCGTTGACGCAGTCTAGCGGTCACACGGCGCAAAGCGATGGCGTCGGGAGGAACGAGGAGATCGTGGTCAGTTCTTCGCAGAATAGCAGTAATTCTGCCGGCTCTGGCGAAGGTAAGATCGAGTCTTTCAGTATAAAAGTTTTGTTTTTTTGTATCTAGGTGTATCGATAGCACAAATTTACGAATCCGTATTTCTTTGATTCTCTCAAAGAAACAAAGAGATTAAATTTATAACGTCTAAGGAAAACAGGTAAAGTGGCTTGACGTTTCGGTGCGTAAATCAAGCGGAGAGGTGGGGGTTGTTCCGCAACACATTTCGTTTAATGTATTTCAGGTGTTGATACAGATTCTTGCAGGTAAAGAAATTTTTAATTGTGACGGAACAGTAATAAACACCAGGTGTCCGTTTTGGTGTAAAACACATCAAAAGTCAGCTGCGTAAAAAAAATCTACTGTTACAGCTGCCGTACCGGGTATTTTTATGTTTATTACGTGTAATATTTTGACGTGCGTGACGGGTAATGAATAATTCCGATTACTTTGACAGAAACGCTTACCTATGTGGCCGTTGTCCCAGAACCATCGATTGTATCTTCGAATGCATCGCTTAAAACAAGAAACCGATAGTAACATATGGACTTTCGTGGAAAAATATTGTGGATAACTTATTGTCGACGAAATATTTTTGTTATAAATCTGTTTAAACGGAGAATAAAATTATGTGACCGCTAAAGGTCATAAAGTACACAAAATCCTGCCGTATATGTTTCATTTGTTGCTAAGGCAGGTATATTTGCCTCGGAATGTAGTAATTTTAATATTTTCTGCTTCAATACTTCCAACAATCTATAACTTGAAGTGAGACGTTTGACCTACTCTGTCAGATTTTCAACGTCTCGCTAAAATTATTTTACAGAATACATGATAGAAATTCATAATTAATATTTAATGGATTTTTTTAAAGTTTCAACACTTGTTTAAAGTTTAATGGGAAAATACATACGTAAGTGTTAAAAATTTATTACGTAAGCTAAGAGGGATGTTCTACCGTGATTCCATTTTGTCAAAATTCTTTTACGAAAATTAAGACGTTTGAACTACTCCATCTTTTGAACATCCTGCTAAAATTATTGTATCGCTAACGGTCGCTTTAAATTTTGACATACAGAATAGAAATTCATAATTTGTTATTTTAACGATTAAATGTTGTCAAATAGCAACTAAAACTAAAACGTTTGAGCGACTCCAGCATATTTTGAACATCCACCCAAAAATTAAAAAATTACCGCTAATTTTTAAACGATTTCTTATAATAATATATAAGTAAATAGATTCCAATTTTAATACACGTTTAAAATGCAATGGCAAATATAGAAATAGAAAGTGGTGATAATTCATTACGTTATTCTAAGAGCACGAAATACTTTAATGATTCAGTATCGCCAGAAATCGGCAAATAAAACTGAAGACATTTAAACTACTCCATCATATTTTGTACGTCCAACCAAAAATTATTTTATTAACTGTCATCTTAAATTTTGATATACAAAATAAAAATTCATAAATAATATGTATTTAAAGGACAATTTGAACTACTCAATATTTTGTGCATCCTGCCAATATTATTTTATCATTGTCGCTTTAAAGAGTCACCGCAAAAATCGCCCGTTTTTCCACAATTCGCAGAGAACTAAAGAAAATAACGAGCGTTCAAATAAAAACGTGGTCGAAGTTGGCTCCGACACATTGGACGTAGGGAGTAGCTTATAGCGACCAACTTAACCTCATTTCTCAACGAGCTTTATAGCAGCTGTCAGTTTCAATAACGTTAATGACTATATAACTTTATTTTAAAGAATAATCGTGATAACAATAACAAACAATTAAAGGAGCTGCGGAAAGTGTCCCCCTCCTTGTTATAACAATAAATTAAAGCAGCTGCTGAAAGTGTCCCCCTCCTTGTTCCAAGCACTTTTCACACCTGTTCCTCAAAGAATTAAAGACTTTTTCTAAGATGCTCGGGGTATTGTTAATTTCACGAATCTTGTCTATAAGTCGAGCCTGCAGATGGTTTAAATCAGGAATAGGCAGTTCAAAAATAGTGTTTTTAAGGTAAGGCCACAAAAAGAAATCACACGGCGTAATACCATATGACCTCAGTGGAAATTCATGTTCAGCATTGAGACTTATTAGTCGATTTTGGAAAACTTCCAAACAACAACATATTCATCGTCTCGCCTGCTGTATGTGCCCTTGCGCCATCTTGTTGAGAGTAAAAGTTTGTAATTTCGTTTTCTTCCAGCTGCTTAACAAAAGGAGCGATAATTTCTTCTCTATACCTTTGCGCAGTAAGAGTACCATTAAAAAAAATAGGTCCATAAATCCTCCTTCGATTGAGAGCACACCAAACTCCAATTGTTTGAGCTTGTAGAGGGCCCTCGACAAAAAAGTTATCTGGTTTTTCAGAAGACCACATTCTCATATTCTGTGAGTTTACGTAACCACTTAAATGAAACCAGGCTTCATCAGAAAAAAAGGTGATATTATGAAGTTCACCGTAGTTGTTTAAAAACCATTCACAAAATACAGCCCGTCGCGGAAAATCAACTTCATGAAGTTCTTGCTGACAAGTTAAACGATAGGAGAACAAACGCAAATCTTTTTTTAACACTGTGTGGCAGGTACCGACTGATACTCCCACCATTTGTGGTAAAACATGTACAGAAGTTCTTGGCACATTTTCCATTATTTGTTGGACATTTTCTTTTAATTCTTCAGTCCGCTTTTTAGGTCAGCCGCTTCCTTCTTTTCTTGTTACACTGCCCGTTTCACGAAAAACATTAACACAGCGCTGAACTGCACTTTGAAAAATTTTGTACTCAACAACGCCGGGAAATTGATTTTGAAATTCTATGAAACATTCCTCAATAGAATACTTCCATATTCCATCAATCTTGCGTCCATTTCTAAAGTAGGACTCTATGATAAACACTTTTTGTTCTTGAGAAAACACCATTTTAAACGCTTTTTAAAACTGAAAATATTCAAATTGATAGCGGCGATATAGCGCTTTGACAGATGACGTTTAAGTTCATTTGCTATACGCTACGCCCTACGTCCAAATTTTCAGAACCAACTTGACCACGTTTTTATTTGAACGCTCGTTATATAAAAATATGTTTTTGGGCTCGAATTACTCGTCGTAAAAAATTAAGATGAGTAAGTATATCTTTTAGTTCTTTGAAAATTTTCAAAAATCACCTCTATTTAGAGGTTGAAAAGACGCCCAAAATGAAAAATTAAATGTTACCAATAAATATAAAAACATTAGCATATGAATTTTTCAATCGAATGATTCTTGATACAAAAAAAGATTTATTCTCATGACTAAAATAAGCATGTTGAATTAGAAAATCCACCCTTAAGCACGCTCAGGGGGTGGAATCATCCCCAAAAATAGAGAATATCAGAAATAATTGTAAAAATTCCAAAAAAATGTATTAAGATAATTCACATGCTAATAATTTTTATATCAATTGGTAATATTCAAATTCCTCATTTTTGGCATTTTTTCAACCCCTAAGTAGGCGTGATTTATAAAATTTTCAAAATACTAAAAGCTATGCTCATTTCAGTTTTTTACGACAAGTAATTTGCGACCAAAAACATTTTTATGTATTTTTTTTAATTCTCTGCGAATTGTAAAAGAACGGGCGAATATCACAGGTTTTTTGCAGTCACTCTTTTGATTCACAATTAATATTTAATGGATTTCTTTAAAGAATCAAATTAAAACATGAGTTTAAAATTTATTAACAAGATGCAGAAATAAAAGTTGATAAAATTTGAAAAAATACTTTACAACAGATTACAGAAATTTTTATGATTTAATATCGATAAAAATCGGTAGCTAAAACTAAGACGTTTGAACTACTCCATCATAAATTCATAATTAATATAAAACCGGTCTATTAATGACGTAAAATTTGTACATTCTTTTAAAATGTAACGGTGACATACAGAATTGCCCCCTTAGTAACGCCACTGCCTCCGCATTTAAACGTTAAGCTCAAATTATAATGTAATACTAAATTTTTTCTCCACCAAATTTAAATGAAATAGTTTGAAAGCGTTCGAGATATGGCCACCTAAATATTTACCGCACTGTATTAGTCCCATTGATACGCCCCGTACGATCTTAAGATTGCCTCGAAAATCGCTCCCTCTTTTTTGCAAATAAACGTATCTTTCAGGAGCGGCGTGCTTGGCGCAACCTGGCCCTTCAACTATCAAAACCGATAAACCCCCGGAACAAACGGACAACTACGAGGTATTACACGTTAAGCTCCGTTCGACGCCCTCGATTCATATAAACCCCCTAACGTTTCAGGTGATGGAGAACGAGCTGCAGTGCGTCATCTGCTCGGAGCTGTTCGTCAAAGCGCTGACCCTCAACTGCTCCCACACCTTCTGCAAGTACTGCATCCGCATGTGGAACAAGAACAAGAGCGACTGCCCCATCTGCAGGACAAAGATAACCTCCATGACGTCCACGATAGTCCTGGACAACGTTATCGAGAAGGTACGGTCCGGCCGCTGGGGCGTTTCGGGACTTACTCATCTTTCTTTCGTTTTCAGGTGATAGAGACCTCGAACGAGGAGATCAAGCAGCACCGGCGTTCCGTGCTGGAGGAGAGGAGGAAACAGGAGGAGGCGGAGAGCCAGCCACCGGCCGGCGCGCAGCAGCAGGGCAGACGGGGCAGGGGGAGGGGCAGGGGCGGCGGTACGAGGAGGGCGAGAGGCGGCAGGGGCAACAGGACACAGGACGACCAGCCTAGGATCAACGTGTTGGATCCCGTCGCTATAAATATAGGTAGGAGCTTTGCGTCCTTGATATTCTTTGTTTTGTTCCTGAAAATTCTCGTAGTTTAATGGGCTCATGTAAGGACTGCCACAATTGTAAAATTTCAGCCTCTTTCTTGCAGGGGCACTGGTGAATAACGTGATAGAACTGAGCTCGGACAGCGATTGGAGCACGGACACCGAATCCATGTCCCCGAACGATATGCAGGACGAGTACGACCACGACGACTGGTAAGTTTGATTTTGATAAGTCGTATTGCCGTTTTCCAACCAACCGCGAAAATAATCCTCACACGTTAGTTAAAAAGTTTGTCGTCGTGTTTTCTTCGCAGTATTTTAAATTTTCTAATAAAATGCCCATTTACCATCCCGTCGTATCATACCAGGTGCGAAGTCATCAGCCAGCAGTAGCGGTTTTTCAGAAGCGACTGTTTGGAATTTTAGCACCGCTGCGCTTTGTAAACGTTCGGAACAGGATCGGATTCTGCTCAAATTCAAACTGTTCACGGTTTAATTTTGTTATCGCTTTATTTAAAAAGTGTAGAAACATACCGTTTAGATTTTTTTACCTTTTCAATGTTACCTTTCACAAACACGTTCCTATCTACGTTACGTAGTGATGGATCCCGTAAAAACTGGCGCCTAACCGTATTGTTTGCAGGTGGCTGGAACAGGAACTAACCTACCATTACCGTCTGGCCTAGCGTGGCCGGCCGACCCCTTAATTTCCCCCCAGGTACTGACGACCCCCGTCCCGATTGGAGGAAAAACCCTAAAGTCGCTGACTGTGTCTCTTGTTGCAGGTACGACACCCGCTCCGTCTACTGGGGCGGCTACGGGTACTGCTTCCGCTGCGGCAGCCCCACCCACTGGGCCAACAACTGTCCGAACAGATAAGCCGCCTGGCTTCAAGTCGTCTCACCTCAGGATATTAAGTTTGTTACGCGACTTACGGATTTTCCATTCGAGTGTCGCGCTCGGGGCTAGTAACGGAAGTTTTATTAATTTGTTTCTGGTAGAATTAAAAACGGATAGGTTTAGGTCGGATTCCGTTGGGACGTTCAAAATTCTCGTGGGGATTCGCCGGGTCGGGCGAGTCGTACTGCCGTAACCTCACCATACTGCCACGACACGTTGAAATTCAATATTTAAAATGTCAGGTGCGCGGTAGCGTGGTTGATACACGGAAAAAATACCTGCGTTGAAGTGTCCGTCTCTCTTTCTTGTCTGGGGCTCGGTGGTAAAGCGCCGCGTTAGCAAAATTCACAAAACCAGTTGCGTATTCGTTTTTTAATTTTGCGTCTGTTGGAATAAATTTTTTTTTCGTTTCGGTTGAATTAGTTTCCTTAAAGATCCGTTACGGTCTTCTAAAGTGAGGTTATGGCGTAGGTCTCGCCTCTCGTTTAGGATTGTCTTTTAAGTTGTCCAAAGTTTTCATGAAAAAAAAATGTGTTAAGGTCATTTATTTAGTTTTCGTTTAGGATTAAGCACAGTATTTTGTTATCCTCGGAAAATTTGAAAATACATGTATATTTTTTCGTGATGGTGGTATTATTTCGCGGTTATACTTCAGCGCCGAAGTACCAGGCACTGGAATCGTAAACAAAACCAAACGACAGTTTTTACCTCTCTGTTAATCTGATGACGTAACTTTGTGTGTTCCTGCGTGGCAACTGTAATGTGCTGTTCATTTTGCATAGTGTTCCAAAAATATGCACAGCTTGTGCACGCGGGTGATTATGGGCATATACAGGACATGAGGGTCTGTTTAATTGTCTTTGTCCACAGTTTTAAGAAAAGTTTGGCGGCACGGTGGACGTAGACAAATCTAAAAAAGCGCGCCTTAAAAAGATAATTTGTTACTTAACCTGTTATGTGTATTTTCACTATGTGTCTCACCATAATCGACGAAAAGAAAAATTTGTTTACAGTTTCACAAAAACTAAAGAAACAACTTTATGAAATTTGTAGTGGCTTAAATTTGCTAACGTTCGTGGTGTTACACTTCTTCAATTGCCACCACACTGCTGCGAGCTGAACCCTATTGAATTATTCTGGGCAAATACACAAAAATAGCATAAAATGACTTTAAAATTAAAAGATGAAATATCAATATTTCTTTATTCACAGTGTTATACAGGGTGTAACTTTAATTGGGGTCAGTTTTTCAGGGGTAACAGTACGTATTTCCCTGAATACGAATCTGAAATTATTTTTTTTATCAAATAAACACTCGAGTTATAAATAGTTTTTTAAAATGCACTTTAATACTTGTGCACGCAGCCACTGTAATCATGTATTACAAATACATGAATTGTAGGCAACTTGCAGTGCATGTGAAGGGAGATAGTGCGGGTCAACTGTGACGAAGCGAAGAGCGTCAGTTGTTCCGCATTTGGAGACGGTACATCTGTGAATTTGAATGTTTTTCATCGCTGGAAGCCACCAACAGACCAAGAGTATTTTGCTAGGTTATTGTTATGTACTGTTTGTGTGGCGAACAGCCGCTCAACGAAAGTAACGAGCGCCAAAGAGCATTACCTCGCGGCGAGTGGTGTGGAGATTTGCTTTTTAATAACCTTTCCTTTAAAAATAAGATTTGACAACAATGCATAGCCCAGTTTCCAATTGTGCATGCGACCAAAGCGCGCGGTTATTTGAAATTACACTAGCTTGTCCAGCGGCTAGGTACGAAAATTACTAAAAAAAAAAGTTAAAAAGAAATTAAGTTAAAAAATAAACTGTTGATGTGAGTTTCTAAAGGTCAAAGGAAGTCTCTGTATATACAGGGTGTCCCACCAGGAACTGCGTCGATCGATATCTAGGAAGGTAGTCCGAGAAATTTGAAAATTCAAGTCGACTCCAACTTCCTTATTTTAAATGGGACACCTTATACATGAATTCCATCGAGTTGTCCACATTTTCTGAACTTCATATTCGAACTTGCACAAAAAAATAAACCTGTGTTTTCGGGAAAACTAAATTTTACTGACNCGATTCAAGTAACGAGTTATTCGAATATCCGGTTTTAGCAACTATTCGACTAACCGGTTTTATCTGAAATCGGTTTTTACGGAACCCGGTTAACCAGTTTCACTTTTTTCCTGTTTTTGCCAGCACAGCCAACTTTAATACTTGTGTACGCAGCCACTGTAATCATGTATTACAAATACATGAATTGTAGGCAACCTGCAGTGCATGTGAAGGGAGATAGTGCGGGTCAACGGTGACGAAGCGAAGAGCGTCAGTTGTTCCACATTTGGAGACGGTACATCTGTGAATTTGAATGTTTTTCATCGCTGTGTGGCGAACAGCCGCTCAACGAAAGTAAGGAGCGCCAAAGAGCATTACCTCGCGGCGAGTGGTGTGGAGATTTGCTTTTTAATAACCTTTCCATTAAAGATAAGATTTGACAACAATGCATAGCCCAGTTTCCAATTGTGCATGCGACCAAAGCGCGTCGTTATTTGAAATTACACTAGCTTGTCCAGCGGCGAGGTACGAAAATTAGTAAAAAAAAAGGTTAAAAAGAAATTAAGTTAAAAAATAAACTGTTGATGTGTGTTTCTAAAGGTAAAAGGAAGTCTCTGTATATAAAGGGTGTCCCACCAGGAACTGCGTCGATCGATATCTAGGAAGGTACTCCGAGAAATTTGAAAATTCAAGTCGACTCCAACTTCCTTATTTTAAATGGGACACCTTATACATGAATTCCATCGAGTTGTCCACATTTTCTGAACTTCATATTCGAACTTGCACAAAAAAATAAACCTGTGTTTCCGGGAAAACTAAATTTTACTGACAGTCTGCATCTCAATTTTTGCTTAAAAATCAAGATATCTTGGAAACGGTCAATCCTAAGTAGGGAGCTATATGTTTTCAACTTAAAAATAGACGATCTTTCCAAAAATACAATAATACACAGGGGGTTCCATTTAAAATAAGAAAGTTAGTATCGACTTTTGGTATAACCGGATTTTGATAACTTCAAATAGCTATAACTTTGTTAACTTAAACGGAACACCCTGTCTTATGCAGATTGAAATTTCCTTTCAAGCCATATAAGCATTGTTAGGGTTGCCTTTACTATTTTTAGAGATATTTGCAATTTTCTACTTTTTGGTAAGACTTTTGTCAAATTGGCCATGACCATAAACACTCCGAAACAATTGAAATAACATGACATTTGTCGAGATAGTTGTCAAATTATTGTTGTGTCTGGATAGTTTTTGCTGAAAATTTAAATAAAAATGGCTGAAGATTGTTTAAATGATACTAATGAGAATTATTTTAAGTTGTTTAAAAAATTTTTTTTTCCATAAATAAACAAATTAAAATAATCCTCATTAGTATAATTTAAACGATTCCCAGGCATTTTTATTTAAATTTTCAGCAAAAACTATCCAGACACAACAATAATTTGACAACTATCTCGACAAATGTCATGTTATTTCAATTGTTTTTGAAGTGTTTCTAGTCAGGGCCAATTTGACAATAGGTCTGATATGAGAAAAACTGTCCAAAAAATAGAAAACTGTAAATATATCTAAAAGTAGTAACGGTAACCCTAACAATGCTTATATGGCTTGAAAGGAAATTTCAATCTGCACGGAACAGGGTAAAAAAATACAGGGTGTTTCATTTAAGTTAACAAAATTATAGCTGTTTGAAGTTATCAAAATGTAACAGCGAAAATGAAACACCTAGTATTAAATGTTTTAATTTGTTGGTATACCATAATGTACTGTTACCTATGCCCTTTACAGGTACCAAAAATCCATTTGACATCACCCTTCTGAAAAGAGTTACTAGCATTTTTCAAATTTTTTCTTTAAAAATTAATATCTCAAAATCCATAACTCCTAGATATAGCGAATATTTAATAAAGTGACCCTCAAATTTAACGTAGAATCCGAATATACAATAATATATAGGGTGTCCCATTTAAAATAACGAAGTTGGTGTCGACTTCCGGTATAACCGGAAGTGCCGGAGAGTTCTAGATATTTTAGTTGTGTTCGACCCAGGGACATTGCCATATTGCCAAATTTTCAAATTTTTCGGAGCGGTACTTTCCTAGATATCGTTCGACGCAGTTCCCGGTGGGACACCCTGTATATAAAAAACCAATATCAAGAAGATTAAAATAAACTTGGGGTGGGTTGTCTTCTTGACGCCATTTAGACTTACAAGACACGCAAAATCTTGTGTTGAAATCGTACAGGACCGATGTCAGTTTTGAACGGAATGACCGATTTGAACGAAGGAGGCCTGGAACTGCTGAAAAGTAAGTAATATTTGCTTCTCTAGGATTGGTGTTTACAGACAAAGACAACTGTAACAAGTAAGAGGATTTGTAATGGTCAGGGAATATAGGGAAAATTTTCTGGAATTTTTTTTTTAATTGTGTCAAAAAGCTGGGTTAGTGATGACCTTGGTATAGCCCCACTGCGTGTGTAACTGTGCAATCTTGGAAGCTAGCAATCAGGACAAATAAGAATTTTTTGTCTTTAAGTGAGCATGAAGGTAATTTTACGCGTTTTTAAGAGGGCCCCCAATGCTTTCTTTGTAATAACAAACGATATCATTAGATACATACTCGAATGTCAACTTATAAGACCATTATTAAAACACAACTACAGGGAGAATTAGTCATAATGTCGTTAATTTTAAGAGTAAGGAAAAATGTGTAGAAAATGAATATGCAATTAAAAAATATATTTTTAGTTGCATATTTATGCTGAAAATAAAAAAATTCATACTTTTCACCGTTTTATGATTGAATACGAGTTTTTAGTATTAATTATTCAGTTTGTAGTACATGTATACTAGACTGGGCGAAAAAAATCAACTAATTTTTTTTTGAAAGATATTGAATGCCCTTGAAAATTTTCGGCAGACGAGCCGTTTCCACGTAATCGAGATTTGAAAATTGATATGTTTTTTCGATTCGACTTTTTAACTTTGTAGTTTTGTAAAAAACGAACAAATTAATATCTGAAAAAGAACATAACAGATTTTCAAAGGAAATTTAATGCTCTACAAAAAAGGCCTCTTAACATTTTTGCATAAATTTACTCCTTCAAAAGTTATTCACGATTGAAGTTGAGGTAAAAACTAAATTGTTTTTTTCGTTTTGGACTCAATTTTTTTCACTAAATATAACAAATTGATATTATACATCATCGATAATTATTATTCTATCAATATAATCGCCAAAAATATCCAAAATCATAATATATTCAAATTTATTCTTGCTCAATAGCTATTTTTTCTACCGTAGTTTTACTGTCTCAAAATAATTTTAAAAATAATAATTATGTAGTTTTCCTATTGAAAATTATTTATTTACAATATTATATACATTTATATGAAAGATTATGGCCCATAAAAATATTCAAGGTCACTTTCACTCAGTCGGCGTTCGTAATAGACGTTGCGGTTATTAGGGAGAAGGGGTAGTATTTTCACTCGTCATAACGCTTAATAAGTTGAGGAAGAGCGAAACAAATAGAGGGGTAAGGAAGGAAAGTTGATAGACGCGAATTCGTATATATTAATGAATATAAATAAATAATCGTTAGTAGTAAAACTACATGATTGTTATTTTTAAAAATATTATGAAACAGAAAAACTACGTTCCTGTAGAAAAAATAGTTATTGAGCGAGAAATGAATTTGAATATATTATGAATTTTAGATATTTTTGGTGATTCTATCGATAGAATAATAATTGACGATGATGTATTATATCAATTTGTTCCATTTAGTGAAAAAAATTAGATCCAAAACAAAAAAAACAATTTAATTTTTACTTCAACTTCAATTGTGAATAACTTTTGAAGGTAAAAGTAAATTAATGCAAAAATGTTAAGAGGCCTTTTTTGTAGAGCATTAAATTTCCTTTGAAAATCTGTTATGTTCTTTTTCAGATATTAATTTGTTCGTTTTTTACAAAACTACAAAGTTAAAAAGTCGAATCGAAAAAACATATCAATTTTCAAATCTCGATTACGTGGAAACGGCTCGTCTGCCGAAAATTTTGAATCGGACCTTTTTCGTAGGGCATTCAATTTCCTTCAAAAATATATGTAGATAATTTTTTTTACATCGACGGTTTGGCAGTTTTGACGAAAAAATGGGATCAGGAATAAAACATCGAAACTAGCGATGATGGCCCACTTAAAACTAATATTAAGGGCTCAAACTCTATATTTTACTATATTTTTTTTTCATCATTGTGAATGATATTCTCGATATATCTTTAAAAAAAAAGTCGATGCCCAGTCTAATGTATTCGTACTACAAACTGAATAATTATTTGATTATAATATTAAAAACTCATATTCCATTATAAAAGCCACTTATAGGCCTCTAGTCCGCTGGTATGTTCGCTGTCATCAAATGTTGTTACTTGTTTTCTAAAAGGTCAAATTTTTTTTTTTTGGTTTTCTGTCTATTCTTGCGAATACTTGGTTAAAATTAATGCCAGTATGAACGAATCAAATTATTAAAATCAGATCATCTGCTTCGACACAAATTAATGTCATTTTTGTGATTTTCCTGCACAGATCTGCTTCTAACGACACAACCGAACGGACTTATTGAGATCTTGGTTATCTTAAGAGATACGAACTAAGCAAAAATGCAGAATTTAATGACGCATGACTTGTCAAACAGAAATTTAACCTATCTCTTTTCTTTTTGAAGTTACTGGCGAGAAACTGAAAAATTCGACTCTCAAAACGTCCAACAGTAAATTTAAACGAATTTTTAACAGTCGAGTTCAATTTTCATCGACGTCAAAATTGAGACAGTTCAAATGCAATTTTCGCATGAAACGAAGCCAAACATCCTTCAAATTAGTAAGTTTGCCACATATCTAGCTCATATTTATGACAAAACTGCACTTTTAATTGTTTAAACTTTAATGTTGTGGATGAAAATTTAACTCAACTGTCAAAATTTCATTGGTAGTAATGGAATGTTTTGTTTGCAAAGCACTCTTTGTCAAATTTGGAAATTTGGTGTTTTGACAAAAACAACATAAACCATATGTGACGTATCTCCGTAATCACGAAACTGTGCCGAATCTAATATGGCGCCCGTAAGAAATTTAATTTACCTGAAAGAGGTGTCGTAACAATCCTTAAGTTTAAACAGCCCACCTTTTACCTTTTTTGACTAATAAAAAGCAAAAATGGAAATAAACATTTTCGGTGGCTTGGTGGCAAAGTCTCGTACAATTTTTTATGTGTGATAGCATAGTCTTGAGTTACAGAGATTTATTGCTCTATTCTCTTTACCATTTTATCGGGGACCACAAGCAGGTGGAAGGTGTTGAGCGACCTAGGTCTTTGGTAGGCTGCCACAGCCACATCCCGAGTCTGTCTTAGGTCACCCATCCAAATTCCAGCCTGCGTTCGTGGTGCTTACCTTGGCCGATCGAAATCCATCGGTCAAGACACCCGGCTAGGCGGTCCCCCTTGATGATGTCGAAGAACAAAACTGAAATTTTGCATCTCTACTTAATAATTTCATTGTGAAGTCGAGAAGAAAACTAATTTCGTGGTTGGGAAATAGGCAACGTGGGGAATTAAAAAAAAAGTATTCCTGAAGCAACACCGTATAAGCTCATCTCCTGGTTCGACTTTATTGGTCAACGACAGCCAAACAATTCAGACATTTGCACGTCAAAAAAATAAATCCCAACACAAAATCGTTAAGCAACCCACGATTTCAACGAGGATCTTAATCGACACACTCTTTTTTCACACTCTCGACACTTTTCACCGGCTCCTTCTTAACAAACACCTGTCCCGTTTTATCCAGTCCCTCCCTAACCGTTTCACACCCGCTTATATGTTTCTTGTACTCGTGTACTGCATAAAACAACTCGTCGCACTCACACTTCAAAGGCTTCACGTCGTGCTTCGACATGTGCACTTCTAAACCCTCCCCGCCGCAATCCTCCCGGCAGATTTCACAAACGACCCCGCTACCTTCCGTAGCGACGTCGTTCGCCTCCACGACGACCTCCCCGTTCTTCTCGTGCTTGCGCAGGTGCTTGGTGAGCTCGTACCGCATCTTGAACCGCTGCTCGCACAGCTGGCACTGGTGCTTCTTCTCGGTCGAGTGGATCAGGGTCTGGTGGGCGCGCAGGCTGCTCTTGCACACCAACACTGAAAGGGAACGGGTCTTGTAAGGATATAAGTTATTCTCGTGGTGTCTCACCGACCTTTGTCGCACGAGTCGCATTTGTACGTCTTCCTGTTGGTGTCGTGCGTTGCCCTGTGGTAGATGAAGCTGTCCCGTCGCCTGAAGTTCCTGTTGCAGATGTCGCATTTGTAGGGCGTCTCCCCCGTGTGGTTGCGCAGGTGGATCCGGAGGTGGTCTGAGGGAAAAAACGTTTTCGACTTCGAATGAATCGAAATTTTTTATCGGAGAGTCAAACTCTCCATTAAATAACCACAGACCTGTTTTATCGGTAACTAAAACTACTTACTCTTATCCACATACGACTTGTCGCACATGTGACATTCGAACATCTCGTTCGTGTGGTACCGCATGTGGTTCCTCAGGCTGATGAGGTGCTTGTACGTGTTGCCGCACTGTCCGCACGAGTATATCTGTTGATTCCGGTCCTTTACGTCCTGCCTGTGGATCTTCAAGTGTATCCGAATGCTCTCCTTGGACTTGTAGAACTACAACGTGACGACATGCACGATACAATTAAAGAAAGCGTGATAATATTACCTTGAAACAAATCCCGCACTGGAGCCCCTTCCCCTCCTCAAGGTCGTGCGTCTGCGAGTGGTGGGCGAGCATCTTCTTCGTCTTGAACCGCCTGTCGCACCGGTCACACTTGAAGGGGCACTCGTCGCTGTGTATAGCGACGTGAGGCTTCAGGCTGGAGCTGTGGGAGAAGCCCTTGCCGCACACGGGACACACGTAGGGCTTGTCCTTGGTGTGGGTGCGCATGTGTGCCTTCAGAGCGCTGCGTACCGTGAAGCCCTTGCCGCAGGCCTCGCAGTGGTGGTTGTGATTGCCTGTAAGAATCGAGCGTAAAAGGACCATGAATACCAACGATTAACAGAATTACCGACCAGTATGTGAGATCATGTGGTACGTCAAATCCATGGCCTTCTTGTACGTCTTTTCGCACAGGGTACACTTGAAAGGCCGCTCGCCAGTGTGATCCATAAGATGCAACTTGTAGCCGTTCTTATCCCTACACATAACCCCGCAATGCTCGCATTTAACTTTAGTCCTGTTCCTGGTTCTAGTCTTAGATTTAATTTTCACGTCACCTTCGTTATCATTCACTTTTTCAGTAACGGAACTGTCTTTGATTACGGAACTGTCGTTTTCGTTTTTCTCTTCTAATTCAGTCTTTACGTTTAAGTCGTGGAATTGGTTGTTGGGGTCTCCGGCCAAGCTCTTTATCTGTTTGATGTCTACCAAGTCGGGGTTATCTTCCGGTACATCTTCGAACTCCCTCTTAATTTTTGTCATTGTAGCATCCATAGTACGCGAGAAATTATAGCTCGATAATTGTTGAGAGACGATTTTCTTTTGTATTATTCTAAACGTAAACAGCCCAGCCGGCTATGTTGATACTTTTGACATTTTGATTTTCAACAGTGGTCTACTTCTTCGTCTTTTAATAATTTAAACGAACTATCACCGCAACAGAATTTAAATTGTGTAGTTCAAAACCATACGAAATATATAACTATAGACCCAACAATGAAGAAGAAGAAGAGGATTGATCGTATTAAATGTGTCAGTCCATGGTAGTGTCAGGCTGAGGTTATGAATCTTATTGCAACATTTATAAACAAACTAAAAGTAGAGATCGAGAAGTTTAAGACAAGGGAAAAGCATGGACAGAATTAAAGATGACATATTTTGTAGGCTTTGCCTCAGTGTCGTAGATAATGGAAATTGGAAAGTAATAGAAGAAACTATCAGAGAAGTTCTAGATGTCGTTTTGCTGAAACTGGTAAGTAACGTTATAACTCTACATTTTTTATTGGTACACTGCTGATATACGCATTTCAGAGCGTGAGCGAAGAGAAGAAATCTGTAATATGCGATGCCTGTTCCGTTAAATTGTTTGCAGCGTTCAATTTTAAGGCTACTTGTATGGACACCGAGGACAGCATTTATCCTTATGTTAATTCTGAAACTGAGGCTCCCGTCGATTTAAGAGACATTTATCTAAAGTCAAGAGATAAAGAACATTTGAAGGATGTATTGGAAGACGAAAAGATTTGTCGTTTGTGTATGCAAGTAGTCACCTGTGGATTTACGCCAGTAAAAGAAGTGGATGCCGATACACTCCTTCAATATATTCCTGAAGTGGTAAATATGTTATTGGATTTTTAGAAACAAATTTTTGTTGGAATTATGTTCATGTATGTTCGTTTCTCAGGAAAAAAATTGGAATAGATTTTTTCTTGCAGAACTTGACTTCCATTACAGAACCCATTATATGCAAAGTATGTATCGATTCGTTGGACACCCACACGAGTTTCTTAAAAGGCTGTTTAGATTTGGAAGAGGCAATTAAAAATATGTCTGATGACAAATCCGTACAAAGTCCACTCCATATTATCAAAGAAGAGATTGAAATAAAATCTGAAGATTATTTGTAAGTCCAAAGAATTTTCAGTTCTCTTTCCAGTATTCTATTCAATTTTACACCATTTACGATGATCTGACAATTTCACATTGCGGATTTAGTGTGAATTTAAATGTTTACATGCATACCTTGATCTATCTTTCATATAGGTAGATTTTTTTTGTGTTAAAATATCAATCTAACCCTGTCATTATTCATTACTTGAAATTTTTCCAGAGGTTCCCCCTCGGAAGATGAACTCCTTGAACGCTCAAGTGACTGCCGATCTGAAAATGCGGGGATCACAAATAATTCTAAGCGGAAGCGTAAAAGGAAGCGATGTTTGTCAAAGAACAACAACCGTCACTTGAAAAGCACGAATTCATCTGAAAAGCTAATACATAAATGTGATTTCTGTGATTATAGGACCGGTCGAGATAAACTTCTTACCTGTCACCTTCTACAACACAAAGACATCTCCGAAGAGCAGATGTTTAAATGTCATTCGTGCAATTTTAAAACTATGCGTAAACAATATCTTAAACGACATCAGCGAAGGCACAAAATTGTCCCGGAGGAGCAGATGTTGAAGTGTGACTCCTGCGATTATAAAACCGGTCAAAGGAAAATTCTTATCCGTCATGTTCTACGGCACAAAAACATCCCCGAAGAGCAGATGTTGAGATGCAATGTCTGTGATTACAAAACCGGTGACGGGTATCAACTCAAACGTCATCAATTAATACACATAGACGTCCCGGAAGAGGAGATGTTGGGATGCGATTTCTGTGATTACAAAACTGCTGATAAGCATTGCGTCAGACGCCATCAGATAAGACACAAAGACATCCCCGCAGAGCAAATGTATAGATGCGATTCTTGTGATTATAAGACCATTTATAGGCACGGCCTTAGAATCCATAAACGGAAACACACAGGCGTCCCCGAAGAGCAGATGTTCAGATGTGATATCTGTGATTACAAAACCGGTGATAAGTATTGCCTGAAGCGTCATCAATTAAAACACAAAGACATCCCTGCGGAAAAGATGTATAAATGCAATTCCTGTGATTATAAAACCATTTATAAGGAAAGCCTTAAACGACATCAGTTTCAACACAAAGACTTCCTCGGAGAGAAGATACTGAAATGTCATTTGTGCGATTATAAAGCCATTGATAAGAAAAGTTTTACAGTTCACCAGCTCAAACACAAAAACATTCCTGTAGAGCAGATGTACAAATGTCAATCGTGCGATTATAAAACCATTTTTGAGCCCTATCTTACAAAACATCAGCGAGTTCACAAAAACATTCCCGAAAATCGCAAATATAAATGTGATATGTGTGACTTTAAAACGGTCTATAAAGGCAATCTTAAAAAACATCAACTGACACATGAAAATGTTCCCAAAGAACAAAAATATAAATGTGATATGTGTGATTTTAAAACGGCTTATAAATCCAGTCTTAAAGATCATCAGATGAAACACAAAGTCATCCCGGAAGAGCAGATGTTGAAATGTCATTCGTGCGATTACAAAACCGTTTATAAGAAGAATTTTACACTCCACCAGCTCAAACACAAAAACATTCCTGTAGAGCAGATGTACAAATGTCAATTGTGCGATTATAAAACCATTTTTGAGCCCTATCTTACAAAACATCAGATTAGACACAAAAAACGGAAATATAAATGTGATATGTGTGATTTTAAAACGGTCTATAAAGGCAATCTTAAAACACATCAACTGACACACAAAAATGTTCCCAAAGAACGAAAATATAATTTTAAAACGACTTATAAATGCAGTCTTAAAGATCGTCAGCCGAGACACAAAGACATCCCCGAAAAGCAGATGTTGAAATGTTATTCGTGCAATTACAAAACCAGTCGAAAGGATCAGCTTGCACAACATCAATTAATACACAAAGTCATCTCAGAGGTGCAATTCTATAAATGCAATTCGTGCGATTATAAAACCGTTGATAAGTATCGTCTTACGCAACATCAACTCAGGCACAAAGACATCCTGTAGAGCACATGTTGAAATGTGATTCACACCATTATAAAAATAGACCAACAGAGATATCTTTATAGACCATCAGTTGAAACACAAAGATGAAGAGATATAAATGCAATTGCTGCGAATTTAATACTTCTATTTGATTCAATAACTACTTAGACAAAAAAATTCCTGAGGAAAAGATGTTGAAGTGAGATTCCTTTTGCAGCAGCAATTTAAGTTTCTTTGTATTCTCCGAAAAGGCAATAGATTTGTAATCTATAAATAAATATAATTATAAAAAATATTTTGTTGATATCTGCACCTCCTGTTGAATTTTGTCTTTCTTCGGTGTTATTTAATAAAACAAGTTTTTTTTTAAGTGAGGTTTGCTGTTGATAAGGAAGAACTTTTATTTCAGAGTAACGGTTTGGAAATGTTTAATAGTTTTTTAACGATTCGCACATATAATTCTGGTCGTTCCAATTAGAATAAGTCTTAATTTTTTTTACAGTAATGTGAAAATATTTTGTAAAAGTACCTGCGATTTTTAATTTAACAGTATGCTGATGAACAAAAACCTCATGTAGCACAATTATAAAATATTTGCGAACACTGATTTCCACCGAACTATTCTTCTTGACTGAAAACAACTAAAATTTGTGATGTTGTAAGCGTCTCAATTTGCTACTTACAAAATTCAATTGTTGGGATCTTACTGGTTGCGTAGTTAAGCAAATCTTACCTATTTGCCTAATCAAAAGTTGGTGGAAATGCCGTTTCTACAAGGTGATTCAGTCATAATGTCATTAATTTTAAGAGCAGATAGAGAAGAATGAGTATAATACGATGGCGTGATTAAAAAAAAATAAAAGCCTAATTAAACCGAAAAAAAATATTTTCAAATCATTATTTAACCCCCTTTTCAGGCTGTTACTGACCGGCTGACGTCAGCCGGCTACGATATGAACAAGGCGCCCTAGATGCAATGTTGCCATATTTATATATTTTTGCTCATATAGACAATAAATAAACGGTTTTTTCACGTCAGCCAATAATAATTTAAATGCTATAAATTATTTCTTATAATTATGTAATTAACATATTAAATTGTTATTGTTGCCCAGCAAGAACCTCGAGGAGGTCTGAGCATGTCTTGCCAAAAATCATTTTTTATTAACATCATAGTGATAATTTTTTAATTTGCTGTAAGCCTATTAAAAATTGAAAGTAACGCGGCCCATTCAGATGTTCAGGTAGAAAAATGTGGCCCAATTAATCGATCGCCATATACCTCTGCCCATACATTGACACCGAATCTCCTCTGAAAGCTAAACCGACGAGTAGTGTGCGGGTTTTCATATGACCAAATGTGACTATTATGGCTGCAAAGAAATTAGCTCTGTTTCACTTTAAATAAAATTTAATATTGAAGTTACAAAACTCCAAGAGTTCAAATATTTTAAATTTCATTTCATAACCATTTCAATTTCATTACGGAAATAATGACATAAAAAACCAACACTCACTAGATAAATTATAAAGAGAGGTTGAAATGTATGTAGAATTTAAATATTGACTGTAAGTAATAGAAGATAAAAACATAATCGGACGGAGACAAATAAACAACTCGGTACGTGTTTCCGACCTAGGCTAACCTGTGTCGAGGTCACTAACCTTCTAATTTGCACGTGCACTTTAGTCTAGGAGCCAGACCGGGTTCCGTTGCCAATCAGAGTGCCACGGATGCAAATAACTTATTCAAAAAACTTGGTCGCAATGCCTGAAAGTGGTCAGTTTAATTGTTATCAACAAATTAAATGTTTAAATGGCTGTACAAAGTTTATTTTTATAGCTAGTACACGGAACCCTATCTGGCTCCTAAACTAATACGAACTGTAGTAGGATCGTATTCCATACAAAGTAGAGAAAAAAGTTGTCGGTCTACGAAAAGAAAGTTAAATAAAAAATTTTTGGTTTTTGAGTTACAAGCCTTCAAAGTTGTCAAAAATATAACTAATTTAATTAATAACTTCATAACCCTTTTACCAGTCGCGTTAAAATTTGGGATAATTATTTGAACTATTATGACGCATTATTTCTTAAAACTTTAATCAAATGGATATACTGGGTGGTAGTGTTCCCCGTTACCTCTCCCTTTTAGCGGTCAAAACGGGCAGCAACATTGAAAAGGTCGTTTTATTTTAAAAAAAATATTGTCTTGAGAAAATCGCCTACAGAAAGCCATTCTTGAGAAAAATTGCATCGTTTGCAGGTCTGTATATTTCGATTTGCTTAGCAGCGTCACGGATCTAAAACTTTGAGTTCAGTAGGCAATGAAAACAAGATGTTGATTGCTGTGGCTATCAGGTAATGTCATTATGGTTGTGTTTCTTTAGGATTCTCATCAGTCTACACATACAAATTATGAAAATTTACAATTCAGTTCCTTGTAAAACAATATTCGTCGGTACGAAACAATTTTAAGCAAATTATTATCTACTGCGTAGCCATTCAGCAACTAACGGCAAAATTGCAAATGTTCGTTGGGATCTAAATTTTTAAGTTCTTGAGTAGTAGTTAAATAAAATGGCCCAAGAAGTTGCTTTTTTAAAGTTTTGAACATTAGTTTTACATAAAAACAGGCAAACTGTTACTTAAACTGCTATAATACAACAATAAAGGTTTTATATGAAATAAATAATATTGATAAATTCGCATTTTTTTAGATGTGAAAGCGTCGATCGCAACGCCCCCTTGATTCTGACGGCCTACCAACGTCAACATTTGTGATCAACCGTCAACCCTTACTTTGACCTATCGGAGAGTGGCTTCAAAAAAATTTGGGAATAGATACGTCGTGAAAAATGTCAATATCGTAAACATCCTTATAGTTTCCTAGAAAATATTAGTGAAGTTGCATTATTTTCAACCTTTACATCGCTGGACTGCTGTAACCTGTAGCGTCATTCACTTTGTAGGCTGTACGCAATGCGCTCTCTCTCCTGAAATCCAATGTTAGTATTTACTGATAGTGTTTACATTAGTTTTTCAAGTGTCAAAAATGGTTTACTTGGGAGTTAATGGTTATAATTGAAACGACTGGATCTAATCCACATTTCGATTAAAAAAGTAACTTGCTATATCATAATTTATACATGTTACAGGAATATAATACGCTTGCACATCAAACTGCAATAAGTTGAAGGATATTCCAGACAGAAAATACATTTTTCGTAGGAATTTGTTCCGTCCATATAATTAAAGCATTCCCAGGAATTTAAATTCATTTGCAAATATCATTATTATTAATGTTTATTTTAACATTACTGAAATCTATATTAAATTTATGTTTAATTGTTAGTATCATACACTTAGTTCTCGCAATATTTAAATTTATTAGTATCTAGATATAATTGAAGTTGTACTAGTGAGTCATTTTGTCCATTACACCCACTAGAGCCTTACTTGGAACAGGCATCATCAGGAAATAGACAGATAAAATCACTTAAAGGATGTGTGTAGATTAAAAATTAAAACATTGGCCCCAGCGCACTTCCTTGAGGTGTTCCACATCCAGTTGTATTTTCTATAGTATGTTAAAGTTATCAGTTAAAATAACTATTTAATTCGCAATTAAAAAAAAAACAAAATAACGGTTTTAATTGCGATTTAACTGAAACTTTCGCAACCCTGGAATCCAATTGTGCAAAAAATTCTTTCGTGCAAATTTCCACATCAGAAATAATCGTAGAGATTTGCATTTACGTTTCACATCTGTTTTTCAAAACACTAACGAACATATCTATTGTGTCTTACTATTACGCTTATAAACGGTTTTAAAACCACGCGAATCGCATTTAACCGTCCACTTTTTGGGCATCCTTATGTCTCAACCGATGTCGTTTCAGACTCCCCTTATACATAGTTTTATAATCGCAGGATTCACATTCTAACATGCCCTCAAGGACGCCTTTGTGTTTAAGCTGATGTCGTGTAAAATAGTATTTATAAATGGTTGTAAAGGCACAAGAATCGCACTTGAACACTTCCTCTGGCAGAACGTCGTGTCTGTACTGGTGCTGCTTGAGGTTGTATTTGTAAATGGTTTTAAAATCACACGAATGGCATTTATACTCCTGCTTGTCGGAGACCTTGTGCCCCAGTTGGTGTCGTAAAAAGCACTGTTTGAAAACGGTTTTAAAATCGCACGAATCGCATTCAAACTTCTCATCGTCTTGTGTATGCAGGTGTTGCGTAAGGTTCTGCTTGTAAGCGGATTTAAAATCGCAAAAGTCGCACTTATACGTCTGCTTCGCGGAGATGTCTTTGTGTGTGAGCTGGTGCCGTTTGAGGCAGGTGTGATAAATGGTTTTGTAGTCGCACGAGTCACATTTATACCCCCGGTCTTCGGAGCGCAGTTTGTGCCTTAGTTGATGTTGTGTAAGGTACGGCTTGTGAACGGTTTTGTAACTGCACGAATCGCATTTAAACATCTGCTCCTCGGGGATGTCTCTGTGTCTCAGCCGATGGCGTTCAAGACGGCTCTTTATACGGGTTCTATAATTGCAAGAATCGCATTTGAACGTCCCCTCGGCGGTGGTTTTGTGTATTAGCTGATTCAATATACATTTTATTTTATGTTGCCTAAGACTGCGTTTATAAATGGTTTTAAAGTGGCAGGAATCGCATTTAAATATCTCTGGGGTGTCTTTGTGTTTAAGGCGGTGCCGGGTAAGACGGGCCTGGGAAATGGTTTTATAGTCGCACGAGCCGCACTTGTACTCCTGCTGCTCGAAGCGGCGTTTGTGCTTTAATTGATGCTTTTTGAGGTAATGCTCACAAGCGGTGCTATAATCGCACGAGGGGCATTTCAACATCTGCTCGTCGGAGACGGTTTTGTGCGTCAGTTGATGTTTTTTAAGATTGCTCTTCGAAATAGTTTTATAATTGCATGAGTCGCATTTCGACATCTGCTCTTCGGGGATGGTTTTGTGTATTTTATGATGTTTCTTAAGGTAGTACTTATGAACAGTTTTATAATCGCACGAATCACATTTGAACGTTTCCAGTTCAGGGTTGTCTTTATGTTTTAGTTGATGTTGCGTAAGACTGCTCGTATAAACGGTTTTAAAATCACACGAGTTGCATCTCAGCATCCGCTTTTTGGGAATGGTGCCATCGTGTAGCACCACATGTTTCTTAAGATGCTGCTTATGAACGGTTTTGTAATCGCAGAAATCGCATTTCAACTTTTCTTCTTCAGGGATGTCTTCATGTTGCAGTTGATGTTGTCGAAGATAGTGCTTATAAATGGTTTTAAAACTGCACGAGTCACATTTAAACGTTTCCTCTTCGGGTATGTCGCTGTGTGTTAGTTTATGTTGCCTAAGATTGCGCCTATAAATGGTTGTAAAATCGCAGGAATCACATTTCAGTGTCTTTTCCTCGATAACTGCTTTGTGTCTAAGTATATGTTCGATAAGATAGTGCTTATGAGCGGTTTTGTAACTGCACAAATCACATTTCAACATCTGCTCTTCGCGGATTTGTTTGTGTTTCAGCCGGTGACGTGCAAGGTTGCGCTTTTGACCGGTTTTATAATCACACGAATCGCATTTTAACATTTCTTCTTCGGGGATGTCTTTATGTTTTAGATGGTGTTCTTTAAGATAATACTTATAAATGGTTTCGTAATCGCACGAATCACATTTATACTTCCGCTCCTTGCTGACTTCGTGCCGTCTTTGGTGTAGCCTGAGATACTGCTTTTGAGTTGTTTTAAAATTGCAGAAATCGCATTTCAACATCTGCTCTTCGGGAACGTATCTGTGTCTCAGCTGATGTTGTGTAAGATTACGCTTTTGACCGGTTTTATAATTACACAAATCGCACTTCAATATTTCTGCTTCAGGAATGTCTTTATGTTTTAATTGATGTTGCGTAAGATTGCCCTGATTGACGGTTTTAAAATCACAGGAATCGCATTTATACTTCTGCTCCTTCGAGAAGACTTTATGCTTTAGTCGATGTTTTGCAAGATAATGCTTATAAATGGTTCTATAATCGCATGAAGGACATTTCAACATCTGCTCCTCGGGGTCATGTTTGTGTTTCAGCCGATGGTGTGCAAGATTGCGCTTTCGACCCGTTGTATAATCACATGAATCACATTTCAACATTTCCTCTTCAGGGTTGTCTTCATGTTTTACTTGGTGTTGCTCAAGATTGCCCTCATTCAATATATCTTTTTCGGGAATGTCTTTGTGGCATACAAGAGACCTCGATTGTTCGTTTTCATAATCGGAATCACATTCATATGTCTGCATTTTAGAAAAATCCTTATCTTCTAACCAGAAGTCTTCCCCTTCGACTTGCGTCGGTTCCTTTTGGGTATCACCCATAGAATTACTTGTAGATCCCGCATATTCAGATTGGGAGTCACTTTCGTAGTCAACGGGTTCATTTTTTAACTGAAATCCTTCATTGTCGATTTGTATCGGTTCTTTTTGGGTATAATGTATAGAATTACTTGTAGATCTTGCATATTCGGGTTTGCAGTCACTTTTGTAGTCAACGGGCTCACCGTCTGATGGGGAGCTGAAAAAATTCAAAGTGGTGCTAATAAAAAATTTCGATCCATACACTTAGTAGGGTAAATCAGGGGGTGATGATTGAACTAGAGAGATAGCCATTTAAAGAACTTTAGGTAAAAATTTGCTAGATGGCGGCATAGCTCATTAGTACGCAAAGTCCCTAGATTGACCAAGTTCCGCAACCGTTCTCATTTTGCCCTAAAATAGCGGTTTCTAAATTTTCTGCTGCATATTAACTATTTACATTTTTTTAAATTTAACTGCCTTTAGTTTTATTTACATTAAAACACTATCAAATTCAATTGTCTGTAATGTTTTAGATTAAAATGTGGGGTTATTTACAATACACTGTTCTAAATTATTTTGTACATTGACAGATGCGAAAACCAGGTGTTTCAAGTAAAATAATTTTGCCATACTTTAGTAGCGTATTCTCCAATCAAAATAATCACGTTTTGCCCTATAAAAAAAAAACGATTTATGGCAAATATATCTCTGTCCTGTACTATGAGCTTGATTAATAAAGGATGGAAATAGCCTCAATGCACTGAATGCACAAGTGAAAATAAATCGAATTCCAATAAAATGTATAGGTACTTCATATTTCAAAGTTCCCGCATTTAAGAAATAGTTCTCTGCCCGACCACTTGGAACACTGCTCACGTTAGGTTTTACTTTACTACTGAGTTAACAATCTATAGTATTCTGTTAGCTGTGGTTACAACCTAACCTCCAAAAAATAAAACTCTTGCGTCGGTCATTTCGAGGTAAATAAACCACAAGTAAACAAATTTATAAACAAAGCACACTAGGAGGACTTTAGTTTTAAAGAAGCAAATTTTGCGACTGAAAAGTTACATTAAAACCTAAATAAACATAAATTCACTCCAAGCAATAATAGGAAATTGTGAAGTCACTAGAAAAATGTTAAATAATGGATAATAAAAAAACTGAAAGCTCTTTGGACTTACATATAATCTTCATGTTTGAATTCAATTTCCTCTTTGATATTATGGTGAGGACTTTTTATGGCTTCGTCACATGAAATATGTCTGATCTCTTCCATGTTTAGACAATATCTTAAAAAACTTGTGTGAGTGTCCAGTGAATCGAGGCAAACTTTGCAAACAACGGGTTCTCTGACGGAATTAAAGTTCTACAAGGGAAAATCCATTAGTCATTATTTTATGAACGAACGAATCAAAATTAATTAACGTTGAGGAAAATTTGTTACTAAATTCAAATAACGCTCTTACCACTTCTGGAATGTATATGTGGAGCGAATCAACATCTACATCTTTTATCGAAGTAAACCCATCGGTGATCACCTGCATACAGAGCCGACAAATCCTCTCGTCTTCCAATATATCTTTGAAATGTTCCCTGCCTCTTTCCTTTACATAAATTTCACTTAGGTCGACCGGCGCCCCAATTTCAGAATCAGTGTAGGAAAAAATACAGTCCTCCGTCTCCTTACAAATTGCCTTGAAATTAAATGCCGCATACAGTTTAATTGAACAGGCATCGCATACTACAGATTTGCCTTTTTCTGTCCCGTTCTAAAATGTAAATAATATATCACGAATGTCTCAAAATCTAGAGCTTTTATCTCTTCTTACTAGTTTCAGTAAAAGGACATCTAGGATTTGTCGGATACTTTCTTCTATTACCACGAAATTCTCATCATTTATGATACTGTGGCAAAGCCTACAGGATATTTCCTCTTTGTATATGCTTTTCTCAAACTTCCACATTACTTTTGTTATTAGTTATTACTTCCTTAAAAAACGAAAACGTACATGACATGTCTAACCATAACCTCACATAATACAGAACGATCAGCGATTGCGTTCCGATTCTAGATATTTTGTACCGGTATTACAGCTTACGGTACAATACGATCCGGTATATTTTCGGGCAATACCTATCCGTAGTGAAGTCAGGCTTGCTTGAACTTGAATTCACTGATTACCGACAACTTTCCAAAAAAGCGACGCACCATCGGTAGATTTAAAACTATTAGCGTAGCTTATAAACTCTATATTGTCGTACAATCTAGCGGTGGTAAACAGCTAAAGTACATAATATGTGTAACTTGCAATGAGATAGCACCATGTATGACTATCAAAAATTCCTGAGATGACTCAGTTTAAGAAATTGAAAATGAAAAAGGAAATGTTGACTTTCTGTTGTATGAGTTATTATTTGTGATAATTTGTGTATCTCTGTATTTATATACTGTGTAATATTGCTAAAATGAATAAATAATATTTACAACTATTAGGAAAATACTGTTTTTTTTTCTGTTTCGATTTAGTATACATTTAAGGTTCCCCAAAAATCTTGGACCCTATTTTTTTCAAAGGCATGCATGATACATATAAGTCATTGAGCTTAGACATCATAGTAAGAGTAAATAGGGCCGTGTTCTTTTATTCTTCGTTTTAATGCGATGAATTCCATCGATGTATTACTATTGGTCTGTTTAAAAAATTCTACTCTCTTATTGGCTCTACGAAATTCATCGCATCGAAATGATGAATAAAAGAACACGGCCTAGACCTTTTTAGTATTGACGTCACATATGCCAAATAATAGGCAACCCCACAGTGCATGTTGTCATGAATTTCTCAATATTTTTACTAGATCGATTTTCGACCGTATGTATTTTGGCCAAAAATAGCTCTTTGTCATGTCCTTAATATGGCGATATTCTGGCAATATTAGAAATATTTAAGAAGTTTCAAACCCCAAACTAATAGAATTATAGAATTTATATATTTAAATTTATAGAGTAATATTGACTTTTATAGTAATTAATAAATTAAAATTATATCGATGTTACTGAGCATGCGCATTAAAGATAAACCACTTGAAGGAAACAAACAACACTCGATAAACATACTGACACAGTACAACATCAAGGAAAACAATAAAAATACTTAGTACAACTAGAAAATGCGAAGATTAAACAAAACAAGAGAAAATATGCTAATGATGACAGCGATAACAGATCAACAAGATCTCACATGCGTATGAGGCTATTATTTCCGAGCATGAGCATTAGGAATAACACGGCTAATGTTAAATTTTTTACTTTATTTAAATTTAGGAATATTTTATATGGTTTTTTGTAAGTTTTAAGCACATTAGTATATCTATTTCACCAATCATGTGTTGGTTGCTCTTAAATACTTCAAAATCCCTGTAAAAATAAATTAATTTGTTCATTTCTAGCATTCCGTCTGAAGATTCCAGCAAACCAAACCGCATCCTTCTAGGTCGAGAAATAAAAATGTTACGGGCTGTTCGCTAATTTAAAATGTCACGTGGCTTAAAACGTGATATATCAAAGCCCCTCCATATCTTTTTATCCGTTGAAAATATCGAAAAACTATCGCAAAACTAACTCTGGCGTCCCTCTAGCATTTCGTACAATGACGTCACACTGAAAGAGTCTATTAGAGTGCGCTGGTGTTCCATATGCACCGAAATAGTGGAGGGGAGGAAACTTTTTATTTAATAAATTCATAAAAACAAATTGCAATATTTGTTTTGATTTCTAGATTATTATATATTTCTATTCAGTTTAAAATAAAATTGATTGTTTGGGAAATAAGACACCCAGAGATTGGTGTTAATGTTAAAACCTAATTTTTATAGTAACTACGTGAATATTTTGGGGATTAAATCCATGCAAGATATCTCTCAGAGGAAAACACCAAGCACCTTTCGAAGAACCATCGGAAAAGAAAAAAAAACACTATGAAGAAATTAGTAATATATTTCTGAATAATGTTACAATTCCAAGGTAAATAGGTTTGCGGCAAGATGAAGATTAAAAAACCATGTGAAATGTGGATTCGTTGGCTATATTTACAAATTGATAAATTAAAGAAATTCTTGACAGTACAGGGCGTTTCTTAAGTACAGGTAAAAAATCCAAGGGCATATTCTGTAGCCAAAATAAGGATTTTTATGTTATATAAATGTGGGATCTGTGGGACAGCCATTGTCCAGCTACAGTTCAAATATTTATTAAAAAAAATCAGTTTTTAATTTCAGATGGGTCAAATTCCTGGAAGACCTTCGGGTGTTAGAACGCTGAGTTGGAAGAAGCTATTCTCCATGAAATTGAAGAAAACCCAAATACTAGTAACAGGAAGATCGCTGCAAATCTTATTGTGAATCATAAATTAGTTTGGTCCGTTCTGAAGCATCAACAGTAACACCCGCATCACACACAAGACTTACTGTCGCAAGACTATCCTGCTCGCCTACAATTTTGCCACTGTGTTTCAGTTGATGCCGTATAAGACAGTGCTTATAAACGGTTTTATAACCACACGAATCGCATTTGTACTCTTGCCGCTCGCGGACGGCTTTGTGTTTTCGTTGATGCCGCGCCAGACCGCCCACAGAATTGGTTTTATAATCGCAGGAACCGCACTTCAACATCTCGAGGATTTCTTTGTGTACAAGTTGATGTTGCGCGATAGACTGCTTATAAACGGTTTTAAAATCACACGAGTAGCATTTAAATATTTGATCCTCGGGCACGTGTTTCACCCGATGCCGTGTAAGGTAGTCCTTTCGATTGGTTTTGTAATCGCACAAGTCACATCTCAACATCTGTTCCTCGGAGACGACCTTGTGTAACGCCTGATGTCTCTTAAGGTAGTGCTTATAAACGGTTTTATAATCGCACAAGCCACATTTCAGCATTTCCTCGTCAGGAACGTCTTTGTGTTTGATTTGGTGCTGTGTAAGGTTGTTCTTATAGATGGTTTTGAAATCACACGAATTGCATTTCAGCATCTTGCTTATGTGAAGATTCTGCTCTTTGGGGACGAGTTTGTGCATTACCTGATGTCTCTTAAGGTAGTACTTATGAATGGTTTTAAAATTGCACGAATCGCATTTAAACCTTTCCCCTTCGGAGACGTCTTTATGTTTCACTTTGTGTTGTTTAAGATTGTTTTTATAAATGGTTTTAAAATTGCACGAGTCACACTTAAACATTTCTTCTTCGGGGATGCCTTTATGTTTTAGTTGATGTTGCCTAAAACTGCGATTATAAATGGTTTTGAAATCGCAGCAGTCGCATTTCAATGTCTTTTCCTCGAGAACCGCTCTATGTCTAAGTAGATGTTGGGTGAGATGGTGCTTATGAACGGTTTTATAATTGCACAAATCACATTTCAACATCTGTTCTTCGGGGATGTATCTGTGTCTCAGTCGATGATGTATAAGATTGCGCTTTCGACCGGTTTTATAATCGCATGACTCGCATTTCAACATCTCCCCTTCAGGCATGTCTTTATGCTGCGTACGGTTGCTCTGGGAAATGTCGCTGTTATCGTATCTCAACATTTCCCCGTCAGGGTTGTCTTTATGTCTAAGCTTATGTCGCCTAAGATGATCCTTTCGTCTGGCTTTGTAATCGCAGGACTCGCATTTGTACTTCTGCTCCTTCGAGAAGACTTTGTGGTTTTGTTGATGTCGTGCAAGATAGTGCTTATGAGCGGTTTTATAATTGCACAAACCGCATTTCAACATCTGCTCTTCCGGGACGTATTTGTGTCTCAGTTGATGATGTGTAAGATATCTCTTTTGTCTCGTTTTATAATCGCATGAATCACATTTCAACATTTCCCCTTCAGAGACGTCTTTATGTTTTAGTTGATGTAGTTTGAGATGTTGCTTATAAATGGTTTTGTAATCGCACAAATCGCATTTATACATCGTCTCCATCGAGGAAACTTTGTGCTTTCGTTGATGTCGTGCAAGATACCGCTTGTGAGCCATTTTATAATTGCACAAATCACATTTCAGCATCTGCTGTTTAGAAGAATCCACCCAAAAGTCTTCCCCTTTAACTTGTGTCGGTTCTTTTTGGGTATTACACATAGAATTACTTGTAGATCCCGCATATTCAGATTGGGAGTCACGTTCGCTGTCGACGGGTTCATCTTTTACCTGAAAGTCTTCTTCATCGATTCGTGTCGGTTCTTTTTTGATATTACGTATAGAATTACTTGTAGATCCCGCATAATCAAACTGGTAGTCACTTACGTAGTCAAGTGGTTCATCTTTTAACCGAATGTCTTCTCCATCGATTCGTGTCGGTTCTTTTTGAGTATGATGCACAGAACTACTTGTAGCTCCTGCATATTCAGGTTTGCAGTCACTTGTGTAGTCAACAGGCTCACCTTCCGAGGGAGAACTGAAAAAGTTCAAAGTGATGTACATGGTGTTTTTAAATGAAGTAGCAAAAATGGTACCAGTGAATGTAGAGCGAAAAATAAGAGGATTGAAGTAAAAATACCTTAAATGAAAGTTGCACCCCTGAGGCGATATACCCTCTTAAAGGAGGGGATTAAAATTCACATTTTAATTTTTTTCTTTAACATGAGGAATGTTAGAGACACGAAACTTGGTATGAGCATCCTACTAATAAAGAGACAACTTTTGAACATTTGTTCGATCATTGGCGTATTTTATAAAGGAGTGAAACAGTCAACCCCATTGAAATATTTTATTAGAAATTTTTTAGATGATGCAAATTATTCATTTAAAAATATTTATTGGAAAGACTGATTTATTACGCAACTTTTTTTACCTCTTGTAATTTTTCAAGCCAATTTATTAATATGATAAATAACAATTTATTTGTTATGACATCCGCCTACTTTATTTTTACAAATTTTCTCAATTACCTCTTTAGTTAACGATGACGCATCTCATTTTTTTTTTTTTACTAGAAAACTATCGGTTTTATCAAAAAATTACAAGAGGTAAAAAAGTTGCGCAATAAATCAGTCTTCACAATAAATATTTTTAAATAAATAATTTAAAAATTAAAACGTAAATTTCAATCCCCTCTCTAAGAGGGTATATCGCCTCAGGGGAGCAACTTTTATATAAGGTATTTTTACTTCCATCCTCTTATTTTTGGCTCTACATCCACTGGTACCATTTTTGCTACTTCATCTAACACACCCTGAATATAGGCCGATCAATAGAGCAATAAATCGGTGATTTTGTGGCAAAATACTAGTAGCAAACGGACTGGACTGTTTGTCATCATAAAAAAGACAGTCTGTATATATATGCTTATATGTTTCTTACTCCAATTTACCATTAATTTTTTTTATAAAGATTTATGCAAAAAACGCATTTCTTTTAGTTTTTTGCTTTTAAAACCTAAACTAAAGAAGCGATCTGAATGCTATAAAGAGATAATTTGTAAAGAATCGAAATACGAATAAAATGAGAGGACGATCGATCCGATCGGATAATTAGAAACCCGGAAAAATCGGAAAATTTATTATTTCGGATCATTTTATCGGAAAATTAGAACATACATTTTGTAGTATTACTTCTACTTTTAAAATCCAGCTGAAAATTTAAATCGGACCACCCCCAACACATCCAGAAATCTTGCAACCTCTATTGGTCGTCCCATTCTAAATTTAACTCCTTTTATTTACATTAAAACTAAGCAAATTCAATTGTCTATACTGTAATATTTTTGAGTAAAACGTTGGGTTATTTACAATAAACTGTTCAAAATTATTTCATATACTGACAGTATTTCCATACGTAACTATAGATTCATTCCAAGCAATGATTTAAATTGTGGGATCACTAGAAAAATGTTAAGTGGTGCACAATTAAAAAAGAAAAATTGAAAACTCTTTGGACTTACTTATAATCTTCAAATTTGAATTCAATTTCCTCTTTGATGCTACGGTGGGGACTTTTTATGGTTTCGTCACATGAAATATTTCTGATCTCTTCCATACTTAAACAGTTTTTTAAAAAACTCGTGTGACTATCCAATGAATTGAGGCAAGCTTTGCATATAACTGGTTCTCTGACGGAATTAAAGTTCTACAAGGGAAAATCCATTACAGACATTATTCTGTGATCGAACGAATCAAAATTAATTAATTAACGTTGAGGAGAATTCGTTACTAAATTCAGATAGTGTACTTACCACTTCTGGAATATATATGCGGAACGTATTAAGATTGCGCTTTCGACCGGTTTTATAATCGCATGAATCACATTTCAACATTTCCCCCTTCAGAGACGTCTTTATGTTTTAGTTGATGTAGTTTGAGATGTTGCTTATAAATGGTTTTGTAATCGCACAAATCGCATTTATACATCGTCTCCTTCGAGGAAACTTTGTGCTTTCGTTGATCCCGCTTATACGCCTGCGCTTTCGAAGAATCCNTTTAAAAAACTCGTGTGACTATCCAATGAATTGAGGCAAGCTTTGCATATAACTGGTTCTCTGACGGAATTAAAGTTCTACAAGGGAAAATCCATTACAGACATTATTCTGTGATCGAACGAATCAAAATTAATTAATTAACGTTGAGGAGAATTCGTTACTAAATTCAGATAGTGTACTTACCACTTCTGGAATATATATGCGGAACGTATCAACACCTACATCTTTTATCGACGTAAACCCATGGGTGATCGCTTGCATACACAGCCGACAAATCCTCTCGTCTTGTAATATATCTTTTAAATGTTCTTTGCCTCTTTCATTTACATAAATTTCACTTTGGTCAATGGGCGCCCCGATTTCAGTATCAATGTAGGAAAAGATACAGTTCTCCGCCTCCCTACAGATCGCCTTGAAATTAAATGCCGCATACAGTTTAATGGAACAGGCATCTCATATTACAGATTTGCCTTTTTCTGTCCCGTTCTAAAATGTAAATAATATATCACGAATGTCTCAAAATCTAGAAGTTTTATCTTTTCTTACTAGTTTCAGTAAAAGGACATCTACGATTTGTTCGATACTTTCTTCAATTACTACGAAATTTCCAACATTTACGATACTGTGGCAAATACTACAGGATGTTTCCTTTTGTGCATGGTTTTCTCAAATTTCCACATTACTTTTGTTATTAGTTATTACTTCCTTATTCCTAAAGAAACGAAAACGTAGTTCGTAACCATAACCTCACATAATACGAAACCACAGAATACCTTAAACGTATCCACTGTCCATGAATCCGGAAAGATACCATAGCACAGCAACTCAATATCAGCTGTGTTCAGCGAATGGTCGAACTAGTACGTTCAAACTTCTTCACTCAAACAATTCGCTGAATGGCCTTTAGACTGCATTAAAATCTGCCGCTGCCCAGTATTTCCAATCAGCTAATTGCGCTGACCAACGAAATATTTGTCCGCTGAACGACTTTGACTCGTCCTACCATTCGTTGAACACAGCCATAATAATGATTGTTGTTGGATACAGCCAATAGCCAATCCAGTTTGTGTCGAGGATTCCATTTCGCACGTATTTCTTGATTGTTAATAAAAAACAGATATATAAGCATATAGATCGCTTAGATTTTACTGTATATAAAACGTACAAACACAACCAAAACCGTAAAAATTAATTTAGCTCCGGCTGTGTCACATAGGAAACGCGCATGCTCTGAAAAGCCTCATATCAAAATGGATTAGAAGCTCTAGAATCAAATGTCAAGTGTCTAATATGTAACACGATACCGCGAATTACAGAAAAAGCCACTGATAAGTGATACTTTCTCTGTGAGGGCCAATGAGGCATATACACACCGGAAGGCAGTGAATTATGTTTTGCTTTGGGTTTGTTTATGTCGGACAGAGACATTACACAGTCATGGACATAGAAAGAGTAGATACATTGGGGGGATTTGTATCTTTCTTGGATATATTATATTATCGTTTATGGGAATTTTACTAATACCTAGAGTTCTATATTTTCTGTTGCTATTAATTGAATTTGTACTAATAGTTTTCCCCTTACAGCATATACTACTGGCGGAGGCACTCAGTGGCCGAGAGTGTAGCGGAGAAGTACTCGATTACCGATAACTCGATTATCAAAATTGGTCGATTATGCCAATCACTAGTTTAGAGAGAGAGGTAAGAAGTGCATTTGCTATCTCTCTCTAGCAACACACAATCGCGTGATGCTGGAGAGAGATAGCCAATAGTCTCCTATACGTCAGTAGTATATAGGGCCTTTCGATTTGGCAAAATAGTAACTAATAGCAAATTAGAGTTACTCTGAACTGATATTAGTTGCTAATAGGTACTATTTTAGCCAAAACGAAAGCCCCCATAGTAGAATAATTAATAACTGTTTTTTATCATTCCTGTTCTTCTGAGTATAGAAGAGGATGAAGAACACTAACCGTCACCAATGTCACCATATCCAATGTTTTAATTGAGGTTATACAGCCCCTACAAGTCACGGTTTTGTATTTGCATTTCAAAGGATATTGTTGTAATGACTGGTGTTCGAGATATCTCTTGTAGGCTTTGCCTAAAAACTATAGCCGATAAAAGTTTTGAAGTAATAAACAACGTTATCATGGATATTCTTGATGTTCTTTTGCTGAAACTGGTAAGTCACTGAAATATTAGTTTCTACTATTTCAATTCGTGAACGTTATTTTGTGCCATGGTTATTGTCATTCTGTTTGATTAAAATGCATACATTTTAGAAATTAGATGATGTCAGCAAGGAGGTTATATGTAGTGTTTGCAAAAGAAAATTATACGCAGCATTAGAATTCAAGTCAGCTTGTTTGAATACCGATAACATAATTATTCCATATGTGGATTGCAAAAAAATGTTACAGCTCGACTTAAGGGAAGTGTACAGGAAGGAAAAGAGAGACGAGTCAATTTCAGAGAATCAGAAAATATGTCGATTGTGTATGCAACTAGTAAGAAGTGAGTTTAGGTGCATACGTGAAAAGGAACTCGAAGTTATTCAGAAACTTACTCCTGAAATGGTACGAACCATGTTAAATATATTCATTGATAACAATTTAAAAAAATTACTTTGCAGAATATAAATATCATCGTAGATCCCGTTGTATGTAAGGAGTGTTTGGATTCCCTGTGTACCCAGAACAGTTTCTGCAGAGAATGTTTGGAAGCAGAGGAAAACTTTAAAGGTAGTTCTGATTGTCAAGCCACAGAAAGTCAAGTTGAGACATCACCATCCAATTTATTCGTTAAGACTGAAAACTTGGACCCAGAATTCGATATTAACGAGATGGAAATGTCAATCAAAGCCGATATTGTCGACATAAAATCTGAACATGAGGAAAGAAGGTAAGGGATGACTATTTTAG